AGCTGTGAAGTCATGACTTTTATAGTGCAGCAAAACAGTAAACAAAGCGGTCGAGATGGATGTAGATGAAGCCATACATTCTGTGTTGGCAATGATTCCCAAGATCGAGGATTTAAAGCCGGAAGAAAGAGAATGTTTGGTGAATTTTATCAAGGGGAAATATGTTATTACCCTTCTGCCTATTGGATTTGGGAAAAGCTTAATATACTAGTTAGCCTTGTTAGTGGTGCATTACATACATGATGACCAAATAGCAGCGATTGGTTAAATAAAAAAGTACCCGCCTACTGTCGAGCGAATGAATCCTAATGCTGTGAGGTCAGGCGGTTTCCAAGAAGTGAAACCGGCTGATGAATCAGGCTAATAAATTACAGAATATTGATTAAGTCTATTATTGGGTCTATAAATTGAGGTATTTACTTTCCAATATTGGTTCAAAAGTTTCATAAGTTTGAAGTTTTTATCTATTCAAAACTGTTCTGTCTGTTTTGTCACTTGAAATATTAATAACAGTTGCATAACGCATACGAGAGAACAGTTTTGTCTTGTGGTAATTGTGTTTTAAGGAAAGTAACGCCATTTTCAGTCTGTCCTTGCTGTGATTGTACAGGTACTGACAAATATTAGTCTAAGTATTAATATGGTATTGACGGGTCTCTAAAAACTAGAACTTCATACTAAAATAAAGCCAAAGTAAAGTGAGTAAAGTAAGTTTGTGACAAAGTATTGGGAATAGTTTTTCTCTTTATAAAACTATTCCCAATACTTTGTCACAAAACATGATACTTTTTAAATCATTAGGCTACATAGGTAACATTGTATAATTTAATGTCAGTATTGGCTTGAAGTAAGAATATATTTACTTAAAAATACAACTAAACATAACTCATTACAACCCCATCCCTCGCCAATTATACACAGTGCATGCATTTGCCCTTAACCTCATCCTGGTCCTCCCTTTGCGAATACACTTTTGGCATCTACAGCAAACCCAAGTGTGAAGCGCAAACCGCTGTAACGGACACACACCAAGACGCCAAAGTAGGTTACATTTTTGACTCCTAAACTTGGAGCGAATCAGGAATTTCAGAGTAGGAGCGAGGTATTCCCAGTGCGCCTGTCTCTCTGTGCTGCCAGAAACACACCTTGCCATTGATTATCTTTACAGACTGCAGTTTACAAGCCAAGTATACAACCTCCAGCCCTCTCTTTCTCCCCCATTTTTCCTCTGGCCCTCCCCCCTTTAACCCAATCTTCCTCACTTCTGTTTTCCCATCTTTCTTACCTCTCTAACAGCACCACAAAAGCCACATCTTTAGGGGTCTTCCAGTCACATGCTTTCCTATATACCCACATCCACTTCACAGCGTAGCGACATACAGGGGACGGGGGGCTAAATGTTTAATGTTGTGGTTTGGGGGGGACTCCAAGACGCTGGGACCAAGGCAGAAACAGATGTTGCAGTCTCATTTTCAATTAGTCTCTTTCTTTTTAAATACACCAAAGAGGAAAAGACACACAAAGATTCAAATAGATTAGTCTGGCAGGTTATAGCTGCTTAAACAAGTCAGCGTTTAGCCACCATGTTTTAAATTGTAATCATCACATGCGATCATAAACATGGGTGGTTACATGGGTAGAACTGGTTGCATTCATGAAATTCTAAACATTTGTGTCTTAATTTCAGATGGAGGCCTGAGGTCTAGGCATTGGTTTCAACTTCCTGTTTATTGGCAACATTTTGAGGACATTTTATCACTCAAAAAGATTTAACATTTAGTTTTGAATCATTAAAGGTGCATTATGTAACTTTTCTGGTAGGGGATTACCTATCTGCTTGTCTCCATTGCTCAAAAATAACTTGAAAAACATGTATTCTTACCAGGGATGTAACGATATCGAAATCTCTTGGTATATTATCACGATATGCACCTCACGACACGATATTTATTGCGATATTTTGGAGTGGCAAATATAATTCTAGATAGGATTTTTATTTTTTTTTTTGCTTTTAAAATACTTTGACAGGTTTTTGTTACAAATTATTACTGTCAGAATTCAAGTAAAAGTCATATTTCTTCATGTTGTCTGTGCTGAAATATGGGATATGTAGTTCCCTATGTTTATTAGCTGTTCCTACTAAAAAAAAAAACTAAGCATTTAAGCAAAGGAACTTATAATTTGATACATTGTGACAGTTCTCGATATTATTGTGAGACTTCTGATGATATGATATCACGGTATTGTGGTTATTGTTACATCCCTAGTTCTTACTGTAAGCAGGGTTTATTGGTTTGTTGGTGTTGCTTGCTTGTCTACATGAAGATATAACAGTTTAATACTGTGGTTCATTCCAAGCATTTCACTAACATCTGCATGGAAACAAGTAGATTTCCAGCAAAGGTTCACCAGAAAAGTTGCATAGTGCAGCTTCAAGTGCTATTTTGATCACTCTGAAACCAATGGATGGGCAGTAGGGTGCATCGTGTACCTAGAGTAAATTTCCATGAGAAATTTCATGAAATTCTATTGATGTCTACTGGGTCCACCAAGCCTCTGAAGTTTTGTGCCTGAGGAAGCCTTAAATCTGAGCTGAAAATATATTTTTCTTTAATAATATCAAAAATAAGTAATTTAGCTCTATAGTATCAATGGAAGTTGAATATAAATATTGACATTTGGTACCAGTTTTATGTCTTTATCATCATTAGATTCGTAGATATGTCAAATGCGTCATTTCTTCAGCACTTCAAGGACCTTGAATAAGCAATAGATCCTGAATTGTAACAAATACAATTAGGTAACTTGAAATGAACAAATTTAGAACTTGAAACTTTGAAAAGTAAAATCTTTAATACAGGTATTATTGTACTATAACTGTCTGTTATCAGACATGTACACTGTAACCTACTTGTCAAAGCATCAATAAGAAATAGAGGTGTGCAAAAATATTGAACTATCGATATATCATAACATTTAATCTGATAAGTCTATGATCACTACAGAAAGAGTACAAACTTTATGTCTCTCATTTCATCTTTGGCCTTTCTGGATACTGAATAATTGTAAAAAAAAAAAAAAAAATCACTCAAAATCTTGACAAAATTGTCATATTGTAGAAATTTATAAAGATAGAGATATAAAATTGGATTGGTACCAAAAGATGTGCAATACCAACATTTATATTCAACTTTCATTGACACCATAGCCCTAAATGCATCATTTTTAAAGTTATCTGAGAAAAACTAATTTCTCTGCCAGAGCCTTACAGACGCCATGAGGATGGAATTTAAGAGACTTGGTTGACCCAGTAGATACTTTTCAACTGAGCTAATATTCCAGAGATTTTCTTTTATTTGGTATTGTCACGTTTTAAAATTGGGGACAAGTTGAATTTCTGACATTGGGGCAAATGATGCACCCTCATGGGCAGTTGCTTGAAATAAATGACCTAACTAAACTACACAAAAGTCCAGTCCAAGTCTAGCGTTTGTTTATTTTTGAGTCTATTTTATCTACATTTCTGTCCTCCTTTGGGTGAGTCATTGTTTACACATTGTTAATTTTCACTGAAGACAATGAACAAACAAACAGCTTTCTGTTTGATGTGAATACGCCCTGGTCGAAACATGTGTGATATGAGTATTTACAGGCAAATTTTAACCACCCATTTCTTCAGTATTAAACGATTATGTCTTTACAGCTTTACGACGTCACATGAGCACAGCCTATAGACATTAAAAGGCTTGTCTATGGAGCACAGCGTCGGAGCATCTGGCAGTGATGCCTTGTATTCATTAAGCGACTCTCTCCAGTTTCACATTGTTTTAATCAATGCTTGTGTGTTTTTCTCTGTGTCTATGCACACACACATATAACTGGTATGTGTCCCCCCCAACCACAGCCATTAAATGCCCCAGTTCTATTTAAAAAACTCACAGTGCCAGTTAAAAGAGCACATTCATCACACTAAAATAATCACATTTAGGAGAAAAAGTCTGTTGCTGTTTAGAATTAAGAGTTGTTGGGAAACGATGTGATTGGAGTATTGAGAAATTTACTAATGGCAAAGGAATGCAATGTGGCGTTTTCATCCTTCACCACACGCATCCACAGTACATTCAGCCATGTAATGAATCAATACAGGGGTGAGAAAAGTGGAAAAGGTCCAGTCAACATTTTCAGGGGGCACTATGTAACTTTTTTGGACGAGACAAGCAGCTATCAGAGTACCATAGTTCACATTTAATTAACTTCTGCAAAACTTGTGCATGTGGTGTTCATGTTTTCAATTTCCTTTTTATTGAACAGTTTAATTTCTGAATCAGTAACAGTCGCACACATTGGTAACACATTGGTTGGAATGTCTTCGTATTACATTTTAGTGTTATGATTATTGTGAGAAAAAACAGAACTATTTGTGATTATTGACTCCAGGGCCAAACAGCAGTGACATCCTTGATTTTCGTAATAAAGAGCATATTTAGGTCATCTTTTTTTAGACTAGAATGGATTGTCTTGGAATGTCTTGGTTTGAATTTCCCCTGGAGCAATAAACTATCTAGTATCCATCTATTTAGACTGCATGTAAAATTGTTCTTTCTTTATTCATTTATAATTATAGTGTGACCTTAAAAATCCTGACATTCCTAGTTGCAGATTGGTGTCAAACCAGACATTTTTGGCGTTTTGGTGTTCCAAGATGTGATACACAGACTCTTCCAATTCCTATTAAATACACCCTGAGGTTTAATATAGTTATAATGTAGTTGGATTTAGTTTGAAACATGTTATGTGTGGGAAAAGTGATACATCCAAAAGGCCAATGAGACAACTGTGTTCCTGTGAATGTATATTAAGAACTGTGCGTTTGATGAGGGCTCACGCTGGAGACCTTGAAATCAGTCCCATCTGTCTCTGTCTTTGAAGCTCTACACAACTTCCAGTCCCTTGTCTACCTCATTTCACATTGTTTAATTTCTCCTTTTATCTCCTTCCAGATCTTATTGTGGGAGCGTTTGGAGCAGGTGAAGTGTCTGTGTACAGGTAAGAGAAAGTTTAAGTATTGTACCTTTCACCAGCATAACTTGCAGTCATGTAATCAAAAATATACTCTCTCTTTGGTTCCTTTTATACTGCCACTGTGTTTGTCTGTTTTAAACGAGTTCTTAATAAAGTTGTACTGAATTGAAAAGTTGAATTAAGTTGAATATAGTGTGATGTCTGTGTCTACAGAGCTCAAGCTGTGATCTCGGTTGAGGCCTACATGACCCTGTATCCAAGAATCCTGAACCCTGAAGACAGAAAGTGTCACCTGCCTCGCACAGATGTTATGGTCACGTGGTAAGACATGATATATATTCTGAATATATTACATTCTAAACAAGACCACTTTAAATATTTGCTACATTGGCCACGTTTACATTATGTTTTTTTGTTTTTTTTTAAATCCTGAATCAATTACTCTGAATTAAATAGTTCTGAATTAAAATATTCTCCTTCGAGTTTACATGGAAATAATAATTCCGAATTGAGGTTTACATGGAAAACATGTTAAATCGCCTTTATTTAATTTTGCTCAATATCTGGGGGTTGAGAAGGGTCCTGATTGGACAGGGGGCCACGAACGTATTTATGTCAGTCGGAACAAAACACACACTGCAGTTGCTACCGGCTTTTTTGTCATCTCGGTTTGTCGTTACGCCATGAACACAAACATGATGCTAACTTTTTTGCTGTCGTTACGATGATAATTAAGCAGCAGCTCGAGAATTCTGTCATCACGCTTTACGTCTGTCAGAAGAGGAGGAGAAGGGAAGAGTGTCGGAGAAAGGAGGAAGAAGACAAACTGAGTCAACAGCTGCTCTACCTCAGCCCACTCCTGCATCCCGCTCGCAAATCCAAAGACCAGTGGAGGAAAGTCTGAAGCGAGGACTGGCAGATAGCGCATGGGATCGCGTCAGAAGGGCGACCCAATGAGCATGCGTTGAACATCGGAATTATTTTTAAGAAGAATAAACTTTTACATGATCAAGGAATAAATTAGTTTGGCTTTAAAATCAGAATAAACCACCCACTTACTTCAAAATTAAGTTTAATTCCGAATAATCATTTTCATTAGGAATTAAGTGCTTACATGTTTTTTTTAAAACAGATTTAACGCTCTCATGTAAACGTGGCAAATGTTCCTTTACTGACATAAAGAACAACCAGTAACAGAGTCTGCTTGCTATTTCATTATACCCTACATAAATGTGTTTGTCTGTTAGGAAAAATGACACTAAAAGCTGACAAATCACCCCATCTCCAAACAGTTTAGATCATTGTTGTGTCTATGGGCAAGACGCTTCAACCACCTTGCCTATGAATGTTTTTGTGAGTGAGTGATTAGCGGTGGCGCAGATTGGCAACCACTTATCTGTGAATTAGCTCCAGGACAGATCTTTTCACAATAGAGCTTGTCATCATTGCGTATTGAATGAATGAATATTTTTACTTAAGTTCATTCATCGTCATATAAAGAAACATGTTTGTCGTTATAAATATGTATGTGTGGAAACTAAATGAATAATGGTTCTGGCCTCCTGTAGCACTTCATAAAACACAATATAAATCAAACCCATTATAATGATATCTGAAAACATCTGCATCCAAAATGTATTTTCTTAGAAATACATATATATATATATAGAAAAATCTTCCTAAGAAAATGGGTAAGGGGTCAAAGGAACTAAAGTTATTGCCTGAGAACTAAATGTACTTCGACACAAATCCATGTTTCTTATATTACAATGTTCATCAATGCCAACCACTGTGCACTAGTTTGGCCTTATTTTCTTACATTCTTAGTTTTAAAACTCACTATATATCCTCTTACACTATAAAACATTGTTAAACTTGGTGTTTGGCAGAACATTTGAATAACAACATAGCGTCAGTGGTTCATGTAAGGAAACCCGTCAATTTTATGCATAGTCATAAAAAACTGTGCAGTAAAAGCCCATTCAGAAATACATATTGTAAATTACACATTCCCTAAGACTTGTGACCCGTACTTTACCTTCGCTCCAGAGACGACTGCCATTATTCATGAACTGCCTTTTTGTTAGCGCTTTATATAACTCAGAGTGCACGTTCTCTTATATCCGTCAAACCCAGATCCACTCAGATTTGAAATTAATTTGAGACTGTATAATGCTGTTTAGATTATATTATTGTTCCAGTGGGATGGCTTTTGGCTTTGAATGGTCTGGGTTTTGAGTCTTGTTACGGGGGGAAAGGCTACGGTCCCCTGCTGCTCTACCACATGTAGCTTTTGAAATATTGGATCTGTGTGTCTTTAGGGCTGCTCGGACAGAAGAAGTGTGCACGGCAAGTCTCCATCCTCCATCAGGGCATCTGCATATGTAGTTGAGAGTAGCAGTTGGCAGTACTTCTCAACTTAATACAAGTGGTTCAGATTGACAGCCACAGCTAAATTGTGTAAACCGCATTTAAGTTATTTAAATAAACCGTATACTTGAGGACGGAATATGAAATTTGACATTACACCACAAATGCAGTTGTAAGGCAAGGTTGTTTAAAAAGCTTGAATGTTTTTGGAAACTTAGAGTGGCACAGTTGTTTGACAAGAAAATCAAAAAATTCAATCATATAATTAATTGCAAAACTGCGCATTAATAACAGTATCATTTTTAAGGGCAAGATATGAAATTTGTACGTATCCAGTTGGAAGTCAAGGTTGTTAAATCGTCTTAAATGGTTTGGGAAACTTAAAGCTGCTCTATAAAGTGGGTCGACTGGAAAGTAAATATTAAGTAGACTACAGTGTTCAAAAGTGAGACATATGTTAAGCAGTTTATTGAAGGAAATATATGGAATTATATATTATTACCCAGCTGAGATTAAGGCACATCCAAGGTTATTTAAAGGCTTAAAGTCCAAAAGCAACACTTGGAGTTGCAAAGTTATAAAAAAGTTTAATGGCTAGTTTTAAATTGAGTTCTAAGGAGACTCCTGGGTTAAAAACTGAAACTTATTTATGCAAGTTTAACAGTATGATTACAACATCTGCAGTTGTATTCATACCCAAGGTTGTTTAAAATTGATGTACACTGTTAAGTTGCAAAGTGGGATGACAAGAATGTAAAGTTTTAAATGAAATGCAGGGTCGACCGCCTGGGAGCAAAAGTGAGACTTATTTATGCATATTTGGTTTGCAGAGAGAGCTAGACGGCTGTGTGTTGGGTGTTGAAACACAGATGCATTCTGGGGGTAAATTACATACAGTAATCACTAACTTGGACCAGGGCTGTTCAGTAAAATGGTCATTTCCGCACTGTATACTGTTAAGTCTGACTTACAGTGCTTATTATGGACCCTTACACTTGTGCACACCCCACTAAACATGTATTAAAGACACGTGAAACCACCTGTATGGGTCAAAATGACTTAAGGGAACAATTTTAAACATTTTATCACACACACAGACGCTTCGACTCACATCTGTATCGCACACTTAACTACCTTACGATTATTTTGTCATCTAATAATGCCCATAATTGTTAACAAACAGCCATCTACAACATCTGCGTTTGCACTTCAGGGAATTGGACCAAACAAACAAATATAAAATTGAGGTCATTGACTGTTTTATGGAGCACTGGGTCTGCAGGCTTCCTTAAATTAGTCAATATTAAGTGCTCCGGGTTGCACGTGTGGGCGTTACTATCCTATACGTGATTGCAGTTGCGATAAAGGCGCACAAGTGTTCTTAATAAGCACATAAGTGGAGGAAATGCGGAAAGGCTTCTCACTCTCCCATGTCTGTGTGCACGACCAGGCCCCAAGAGACACTCCGATCTGGGGTAAAGAAATGAACCATGCCTTGCTAACACATAATGATTTTAGATTTATTGTTTTTATTTGATTTGATTACAAAATACACACTCATTTAGACGTCCAAACAGCTCAATGTGTTTATGCTGAGTTTTTCGGTCATGGCAATTATTCGACTGTTTGTAACTTTGAAATGTCAAACTTTTCATGAATTAATTTATCACTATAAAACTACTTAACAAGATGTCAAAACCAGCTTTATAAATTAGTAAAAATATTAACAACTCTAGTCCATAAATTTATTCAAGTGTATAAGCTGACCATTTGAATTTTGGAGGACAGAAATCTCCAACATTTTATTTGGAACATTCTTATAGAGAAGGTTAAATAAGGATGCATTTACTCACTATACTGTGAAATCAATCATTTGACTACAATAGCAAACACAACATGTAAACACTCCGTTTAAAATCTACAATTATATTGATTCCAGCTGACAAACCATGGTTTTCACAGTGATGAAAAAAATAGCACCATTGCCATAGCACTTAACAATTCAAAACAACAGTATTCTATCTTTTTAATGCCCTCGAAATGTCGCTTTTCATAGCAAGCTGAAACCCATGAGTTATGATTTCTCTTGTTATGTTTATTTTTTCTCTCTATGGCAACATACAGTAATAATAAAAATTTTTCCTCTGTTCTTTCCCTTCCACCTCCGTGTTTCCTCTGCAGTCTAAAGGTGGAAGTCTGCGCGACCGTGAGCGGAGTGGGCATCCCCAGCTTAATGGGTAAGCAGCTGTGTGCAGTGAGACAAACCGCAGTCTGTGGGTGGGACGGAGTCTGAGCCAGGACCAGTGTTTGCCTCATTACAAAGACCTGCTGAGAGACTGTAGCTCTGCCAGCATCATCAGTGAGGAGAGCAACAGGAGCAGCAATAAGAACAATACAGACTTTATGGTTTATTTATGTAGCAGAGTGAAGTAGAGTGATACAGGTGGTAGGTGGAGTTCTCCTTAGTTTAAGGTAGGGTTGTCAAAATAATATCCAGAAGATACTCACTGACACCTAAACAAGAACTGAAAAAAGGTACATTTGGAACTTTCTTGAATAGTTTTAGACTTGTCCTGATCTTTTTCTAGTATAAGACAACACAATACTATATCAATATCAATACAGTATTAAAGAAACAATTATTATTACATTTGATTGTCTGAAAAGGAAGTTTTTTATTATTGTCAATCAAAATTGGAACTGAGTATCAAATGATTCATTAGACTTTAATTGGAGTTTAAAATTTTAGTACAACTCAAATTTAAGGCTGTGATCACATTTGCACATAACCAATATTAAAATCAGGATTCCAAAATCCAAAATTAAACCTGGATTCAACCATGACTGTGGTAAGACTAGAAAAGAATCAACCCAGGTTTACCTCAAAACGATAAAATCTGAAACAAACAGGACTAGTGACTCTATCTAGATTAATGGTCGGGTTGCGGTTCAAAACAATTCTGGTTTTTAGTTTAGAAATAATTGTGTTTGCACTGAGGTGATTCTAAGTTGCAACTACTATAGCCATGATATAATCCTTTCAACCTGGTTATACACAGTAAGAAGATCCTTTCTGTGTGAAGTTTGCATGTATTGGTTTCCTCGATGCAACTTTAGTTTGATGATCATTTTATCATGACTGCTTGTGTTCAGAACTGATGGCCGAGCTGCACCTGGACTGGCTGAAAGGCGGCAGAGGCGGAGTCAAACGAGTCCTGTTCCTAGACACACAGCAGCCACAGCGCACGGGCATCCTGACACTTGGCCGAGTCAACCCACAAGCATGCATCTCCTACACTGTTTACCTCAGGGTAAATTTAGAGAACACTGTTGTGAAAATATATAATTGCCGTTTTTTCTGGCCAGTTTTGTGATTTTGATTCTGTGGAATATTCCTGGTAACATTTAAAAGAAAACGTCTCATTTGTTATGTGATTTCCTGATGTAAATTATGAAAGTATGAGCATTTTTTATGAGACGAAACACAGATAAATGATGCAAGAAAAGCAAATTACAGAACATGTTTATGTCTAAACTGTGGAAAAATACCCAATGGAATCTTCATGATTTACCATTTGTCATATCACCCTTTCCTACACTAATGCTTAACTGCAGACTTAATAAGACTTGTTTTCATTCTTTTTCAATGTTTTTATAGGAAGAGGATGAATTCAGGGACAAGCTGACCCCCATAGCTCTGGCTTTAAACTACAGTTTGTCTCCTTCTGTTCAAAGCAAAGTACTACCCCCTGTCCTCAACCACTACAGCAGCACCTTCCTGCAAGAACATGTACGTAACCACATGTGGATGATCCACAAGTTTACTTTTTCAACACAAATTTGTTTTACATGGGATTTGAGCGTCTCATATGGAATTTGTCGGTTATTTGCCAAGTAAATTTAAAAATAAACAATTGGGCAAAGATGAAATTGTAAGCTTTATCGAAAAGCGAGTCCCAGAGAAAAAACTAGAGTGAGCATGATTTTTTCCACATGGGGTGGGCAATATTGACTAAAATAAACACTGAAATCTCCCATGATAATTATAATGAGATTATAATTTAATATTTTTGCAATCCATCAGAAGTCTGGCAAAAAATGTTACCAAATCCAAATCCACTTTATCTCTAGCACATTTTACAAACAAAGCAGTTTCCAAAGTGCTGCACAGAAATCATAAAATGAAGACAACAAAAAGGTAAATTTGGTCATACCAGTCCTAAAACAATAAAAACTGTGAAATCAAAATCAAAGCAAAAACCATAAAAATAGCAGTAAATAAGTAAAATAAATAAAGTAAATTAAGAGGACCACACAATTCACACAGTGTCAAAATCCAGAGAATAAAAGTGGGTTTTAAGACGAGAGTTAAAACACTCCACTGTGGGGGCTGTTTGGACGTTACACTTTATTTACAATACACTCAAGATCCTAATTTGGCATATGTTTATAGTAATACAGTAGTATTGCTCAACTCCTACCTGGTGATGTCACAATACTAATAAAAATGTTTGAAATCATTCTTATACTAAAAACAGGCTTGATACCCCTTACTGATATATATTAAGGAATATTATAAGTTAATTAATACAATGTAATTACAATACATTTTAATATTCGTATTGATATGTTTTTGATAAATCTGCTCTAACTGTATGCAAACATTTGGTGACTGTTGGTAGATTTACTGCACGATGACTGGTTTGTCATGAACACAAATTTTGAAGTAGGATTTGGTGAAAAAAGCCTGATTCATCAGCCCGTTTCACTTCCGACCTCACAGCATTAGAAGTTTTTCGCTCGACGGTATGCGGGTACAGTACTTTTTATCAATTAACCAAACGCTGATATTTGGTCCTGACATATGTAATGCACCGCCAACGGGGTTAACTGGTATATTAAGCTCTTCCCAAATCCTGTAGGAAGAAGTGCAGTAGCGTCTTTCCCTTTGATAAAATTCACCAAACATTCTCTTTATTCCGGCTTTAAATCCTCAGTCTTGGGAGTTGTTGCCAACATAGAATGTATGGCTCTTTGCTGATTGGCTGGTGCCCAAACTCACACTTCTTTTTGTAAACCTTCTTGTATATTCTGATTCCTGACCTAGTTGCTGGAGAGAAATGAACTTGAGCGAAGGCACTAGGTGGTGCCAGCCTGGCTAATACCGTCCCCCCTTAACAGCTGAAATCTTATTATAGTACTGAAAAATAACAAAAAGTTTCGCACTAGTACAAAGAAAAAGTAGCTGCAATAAATACTGAACCCCAAATACAGTTGTTCATCTGTCATGTATTGAACAAAGTCGATATCGTGACAGGCCCACACTATGATCTAAAAGGTAAAAATGCATCTGGATAAGACTCTATATATAAACGTGCATACAACATGTGAGCTACAACAGTACGTTTTCTGTTTTGAGTACCATGCCTGGAGTTGATCTTCTCTTGTGGTCTTTCCCCATTCACTCCTCTCTTTTGCCTCGCAGGCCTACATTCTCCTGGACTGTGGTGACGACAACATCTGTATCCCGGAGCTACAGATCTCCGCAGCGATGTAAGCCCTGACACAGCCACGCCCTCTGACCTCAACCTGTAAACACTCTCCACGTCACACACCAAAACACAACCAGAAACGCCATCTGCCATTTGTCACACTATATACCATATGTCGTACTGCTGCTGTGTGCAAATCCACCTTTTCTATAGTGTTCCCAGCTGTAAGGTAACGCCATAGCAACATTATGTAAACATCCTGTCACCCCGAACGCAATGGTATTCATCTCCAAACACAAGCACGAGAATGAGGGGTGAAAGCAGGGGTCAGGGCGAAGTCACCTCTCTCAGAAGTGCAACAATGAGGAGATGTAGTGCTCAGTGTTTTACTTATGACCCTACGCCTTTTTTATAAAGTCTATTCAATGTTTCTTTTTTGGTGATTTACTAAACTTGAACTTGAAAGGCAACCAAAATAATACTGACAATACCAAAGTTGTGATGACTCATATAGCTGTTGCACCAAGGACACCTGCGCCTCACCAAAAAGTCTTGGGTTTGATTCATGAGTAAGGCCGACTGAACTGTTAAACTGAACTATTAAACTATTAAATATTAAACTATTGTCAAATTCAAGCATAGGTTGTGCTTAGTAGCTGGCTAAAACATCCAAAAACATATTCTTAAATGTCCAGACTGGTTAAAAAGTTGTGTTAAGTTAAAATTGTGGCCATTGTATCTATAAGGATTGACTGATGTGTTTTTTATTTTTTCATGGCTGGTGCTAATATTGATTGTTTAGAATCCAGAGAAACCTATGGCCAATCAGCTCTGCCTATATTTTTGGGGCGATATGTACGGCTGATTTAGATTTTTCACAAGTTTGTATTTTAAATTTTCTACAAACTCACCCACAGACCTTTTTACCACAAACTTATAAGAGAGCTTTGTAGTCACGTTTTGTGAGTTATCATTTCAAATTAAAGTGTTCAAATGGAGCTTATTGTTTATTCTTACACAGCAACTCAGCAAAAATGTAAGAATCAGTCTCTGCTGGAGATTTAGGGCCAATAGCCAATACGCTGAAAAGAAATACTGATCCAACATATCAGCCTATAGACTAATGTCTATATTCCACACTATTTAACACATTTGATACTTTTTCTCATGCTCACAGGGACCGCTCAGAGTTGGTAATTGGAGATGACAACCTTCTCACGCTAATCGTAAATGCAGCTAACCTCGGAGAAGGAGCCTATGAGACGGAGCTGCACGTCCTTCTCCCTCCTGAGGCAGACTACATCGGAGTGGAGCGACGTGTGGAGGTTAATAACACACACTCAAACACACACACAGCTACAAAAGTGTCTGAAATCAATTACACAACTTAAAAGTAAAGCCCGAAAGGATGTATAGTGGAAATGGACTTACAGGCTTATCAAGAAATGATCTAATGGACTTAGCTGTAATTTCATCGCTTGAGTGACGCCTTCACCTCCTCGGGATTCAAAGCAGGAAGTTACCCATGATCAGTATTTATGATCAAAGTAAGAGGTGGGTAGTGTAGCATAAATGCAGTAAGAGTACTATTAATTTAAAATTACAGTATTCAAATAAAAGTAAAAAGTTGGGATACCATCACGTGCAATGGGACCATGAAACTTATGTAATGGTGAAACCTAAGTCCTGTCAGCTTATTTTGCATAAATCTGTGATTTTTTATTTTATTACTTCTTGTTCTATTTTATTTTTACTTGTACGTTTACATTTATATAATTATGTCTTATTTGATACCTGTCTTTTGCTCTTTCTTGCTACTTATTTAGAATTTATGATCACCATTTATATTTTTGCTCTTTGTTATTATATTTTTTGTGATGTGTGAGCTACTGTGCCCAAATATTTTCGGTGTGGATCAATAAAGATTGCCAAGGTCTAAACCAAAGTAAGTAACTATATGATTAGCTCTGGAAGTAACATCTGACTTATAATTGGCTAACAAACAAAAGAATGTGTAGCTTCTAGGCCGCCTTTTTTTTCTTTTTAATTTGTTTGTTTATTTCAAAGATGAACTAAGCCTGAATCATTCTTCACAAACTGTTTATTAGTGATTATAAAGTGTTACAGTGAACAACTTATGCCAAAAATTAAAACTGTAAGTGAAGCTACAGCTGAATTCTGACCATAGTTTACAGTACGACATCACATCCTGTTTTGTCTTTAGAGCGTGTTCCTCATGAGTGATTACGGCGAAGCTATCAACAGAATATGCTCCACTGGCAGCAACCCAAAAGCTCCAATTATGACTTACAAGCTGCATTAGTGACCACGGGAAAGGATGGGGTCAACTGCCATGTGTGTCCAAGCGTGTGTGTGGATGTGTGTGTGTACATGCATGTTGTGTGTACTAATGAGTGTGTAATAGGGCTGTTTGATTGATGAGGTTGTTACTGTCAGAGCATTCATCACACTCCCCCCCTCGTCGCCCCTCCGTGACTCCCTTCTCCCTTCCCCCTTTGATGATGGGTCCTCCCTTGTTCTTGGCTTTTCTCTCTCATCTCTTGTCGCGGCCTATTTGTCACATGCCCTCTTTCATTCATTCATTCGTTCATTCGTTTGTTCATTTAGTGACACTCTCTCTCCTCCTCCAGGCGCTGTCCCAGTTGAACTGTGAGTACAAGATGGTCAACGAGTCCAGAATGGTCGTGTGTGACATGGGCAACCCGATGGTGGAGGGTACACAGGTCAGATTTTAAACACATTTTATATTGAAAAAAATGCAACTTTCTCCCCTCACGTTTATAAGATTAGAGAAGACAGGAAATGGTGAAATTATGGTGTTCCAACTTATTAGAAAATAGACTTAGCAAATAGACACAACACTGTGCAAGTAATGATAAAAAATAAAATGAAGGGCAACAGCACTGTGCAATAAGTGGCTTTGACTACTGATGCTTTGTAGCTGATGTCCATCAACATTACCCTGGGAGTGTAAAGCTAACTGTAAGCACTGCTCTGTCTGATGCTCTGTTACTCAAGTTATACTTAACCGGAGTTTTATTTTAACACAATCTGACCACAAAGAGGTGACTTGGTTGGAACTACAGCCTCATTTACTGTACATGTACGCAGGTATTATTAAAAACGGAGACATTTCCCTTCTTTTGTACCCATCTTTTACACATAAATGGGGAATTGCCTCTGAAAACTAATTTTTCTGAAAATTCCAGCTAGAGTGGAGATTCTGGAAAACTACGGTTTTGCGTTTGAGTGTAAAGTGAGATAAATAGAGTTTTAGGCAGCTGACTCGCCAAAAGTGCGACTTGTGTTTCCCTTTTTCTATGATAATGAGCATGGAGCATTCATTTCTTTTTCGCACAGCTGATGTTTCATATCGATGATCAAAGACGAATGAGGCTCGGAGGTCAGCAATTTTGCCACTTTTTTTAGCATATCTGTGGCAAGGCAGTCCCGCTCAGTAATGCACGTTGTTCAAGGTATTTTTGAGTAATACTTACAACTTTAATAAAATAAATGCTACGGGTTTAAATCTAACACACGTGCCGCTCAGAGGCTTGGCGTAGTTACGATGGCACTCAATGGCGTATTTATGCAGGTTGATGTAAACAAAAACTTTTTAAAAAACTATGCTATGTGTACGATGTTATTATCGAAAATGGAGGGAGGGAAATATTAGTTTCTCAACATACCCGGCTATGTGTAAATGTAGCCTACAGCAGGTGAGCTGATTTGTGCTGATAAACAAGTCTCTTACACATAAAATTACAGTCGTAAGCTAGCTAGGATTAGTTAACAGTTTTTTACTCTAATCACTTTGACATTTTTGTTGAAAATCAAACACCTAAACAGCATCATGAACGCTCATGTTGATCACAGGCTCATGAAAATGTGTTGTTTAACTCTATTTTGTGTTTTTTAGACTTTTTGTTTGTGTTTGTGCATTGTGTCACCATGGTAATTTCTCAACATTCTGCCAATAGACATAAATGTCGAACACCCCCAGCGTGATGTCACTGCAAAGTATCAATTATAATGTACAGTGCAGCATCTGAACAGGATAAACTGCAGGTAGAATGACATCAGTGTATTAAACATGAAGATTCACATTATTATTATGTTTCAGTATTGCACATGGTTACTACAGGAGGATGACACATGTGCATTTATCCTAAATTGAATAATAATGAATACATTGGATTTATATAGCGCCTTTAAAGACACCCAATGAACTTTACATTGCCTCATTCATTCACAGCTTCCCTGGGGTACACTGACATATGCGAAGCCAATCTGTGCCAATCACTGAGGCATAAAGAATTCTTGAAAAATAAACACATAAATGAAAATCTGCTGCATACTACAGTGAAATGCCACCATGAAGAGACGGGGCTTCCCAGTTATGGAGGTTTAAACGGGAAGTTAATGATCCGAAGTTAAAAAAGTCCAAGTTCAAGTTAAAAAATATCACATAGAAATCCGCTTATTTTATAGTTTCATATTAAGTACCAGTACCAGTTTTCTTTAAGTCGGGTGGCTCAGCAGATTTGAGTGTTATCACCTTGACTCACAAAAACGTGTACAGTGTAATTATTCATTTTTACCTTTCTAAACACTACGTAACAAAGCGTGTCACATATGTTTTACCACAAGACAGTTTTATGTATTTGTAGTTTAAAAGTGCCAAGGCCAAAGACGTGGTGTTTTAGGCCTGGGGGTGACACATGGCATTCTGATAAATCAATTATGTGGTCATGTTTCAACTTTTGGGGGAGGGGGGCATGAAGAGGAGAGGAGCAGGGTGCACCTCAGCCCTCCAGATGTTTCCCATATTTAACTCTCCTTTGCCCCGCTGGACGCTCAGGAATCCATGAGCTTATGCAGAACATGCCTCCGCAGACCTCATGCAGACTGCTTTATATTGAGCTGCTAAATGATTCTCATCACTGGAGTTCTCGGTGGAGCCCTTTGACACAGTTCCTTAGAAAGCAGAAGGGAGTCCACTGAAGTATTTATCTCCATAGTTGGTGCTTGATAACAGTCAGATTTTAATGCTACAGTTTGTAAAGTAGTAAAAGCGCTGGTTAAAAGAAATATCGAAGAATGTTTTGTGTTATAATTTATATGATGTTGTATTTAAGAATGTTTTTTTCATTCAGGTGTTGAAGTATTAAGGATGCTTCTTAGTTTGTTTTAAATGTTAGTATCATGACAACATTATTTGTAGTAGTACGAGTAGTAGTAGCGAAAAAGTTCTCAATTCTATATCTTCTGTAGCTTAGGAAATCTTCTGCTACCCTGAGGCCAAGTATCAGAATCACATTATTTGAAAACACATAAATCTAAATAATTGATATGTAATTTGTTATAATAAATTTTGTACATAATTCTAAACCATTTTACCATGACTGCACAAAGTTGTGTATATAATTTATGAGTACTTAGCAGAAAAAGAAACAAAACAGATTTTGTGGTCACCCCATCTGACAAAGTCTATTGAAATGTGTGAAATTCCTTGTGAGTGTCCTTGTCCTCTTTGACAGGACCGCTTTAAGGCTTATACTATTCTTAACTAACTCCACTGTTTGGGGATAGTTAAGGGTATGTGCAAGGTCTTTCCAACTTTGACTGACATTGAATGCGTTGCCCTATTTGTTAAAACAAAGTGTGTCTAGTTGCAAGATCCATATAGATTAATCTATATACACAACTGGTCAAAAGTTTTAGAACACCGTAATTTTTCCAGTTATTTATTGCAATTCAAGTCGTGCAAGTCCAATGAAGAGCTTGAAATGGTACAAAGGTAAGAACTGAACAGCCAGAGGTTAAAAAAAAAGATAAAAGACAACAAAACACAAGTCCAAGCTCTGCCAAAACTACCTCAGGAAAAAAGATCAAGATGGTGAGCTTGAAAACATAGAGTGTCCAACACAGTCTCCAGACGAAAACCCCATCGAGCTGGTTTGGGATGAACTGGACAGAAGAGTGAAAGCCAAGCACCCTACAAGTGCCACACATTTATGGGAACTTCTGCAACAGATTTGGGAAGAACTTTCTGAAGAATATTTCATTTCTATTGTAAAAAGAACAAGCCACGAGAGTGTTCAGTTGTTATATCTGCCAAAGGTGGACACTTTCATTAATCAAAAGTTTATAATACGTTTTGGCCAACAGTAAATGGTAAAAAACTGGAAAAAAGTGTGGTGTTCTAAAACTTTTGAATGGTAGTGTAATTTTGCTGTTTGCACAAAAAAGATGAACCAGATATGTGATGTGCAAATGAGTCTGACATCTGACAAGACATCAGAAAAAATAAGTCTACTGGTTTTGATTAAAGAAATAGCCAAAGCATATACAGTAAGTACCAAAAAGTATTCTTAACCTAGTATTCTTAAAGTTCCGGTACCAAAAAACTGAACAGTATCCAGTCCCACATATGTCTTTTAGCAAATGTTTATACTTCAATCATGATCAATTTGTTGTGGCCACTTTAAGATGATTCACACTTGTATATTTGTGAATGATTTTACTCAACCATGATAAATTACTTCCTTGGATCATTTTTTTTTGGTCTTTTGAAATCCTCTGACCAATGTCCCTATTTGGCTGTGACGTCTTCCTCTCCAAATAACTTGTTTTTGATCTTTCTGTTGTGTACCCTTGAAGATGTCTACAGCTCCACCACTCTCTCTCACTCCCCCAGGGCACCATGTTACACTGACTACATGCTGTCATATCCTCCTTTGACCATGTGTCTGACCCATTAGCTACATATAACCACACAAGGGCATAAGCAAGTTACATTGTTTTGCGGAAATGATGATGAAGAACCAAAAACACCCCATGTGTTTTGGATTAAACTGGAGGACAGGGGTTTAAACTGAAGAGAGACGAGAAACTTAACTGTAGCTTTTAAGACTACGTCTGTCTGGACTTTGTCAGGTTTGATATTGCTGTTGACCCTTTCTCAAACGTGGTCCTCAGCCCATAACTGAACCTGCAGTTTACGTGACGCGTTTACTGACTCATAGTGAACTCGAAAGACCGTACGGCTTTGAAGAACAGATGCAACTCCTCTGCCCCCTGTCATCTTTTTACAGTCACTCCTTTTCGTTTAACCCTTTCTTCTGTCTTTCTTTTTGTTCGCAGCTTTCTGTCGGTTTGAGGTTTGCCGTCCAAAGGTTGGATGACGCAGGACCGACAATCAGCTTTGACCTCCAGATCCACAGGTGATTCACCAGACCATTCTTACATCCATGGCTCTTAGAATTAAAAAATAGGACCACTGTAGTAGCATGTAATACTTTAAGGCAAGAAAAAAAAAAGATTCAGTGATATATCACGATTCAAAATGCATCAAATCGATTTTTTAAGGTCATGTTAAATTTCATAAGTTCCATTTACTATTCTCATGATTTAAATATTAAATATATTGTATTTCATCCAATTTTGGTCTCGTGAAGGTTTACTCAGCCATAATAATATTTGTAATTACTGATAGATCACAATATATCGAACTTAGTTTTAGCATCGGGATATACTGTGACATATTGAATTGTCACAGGCATATCATAAGTATTGTAAAGACAGACATTCATGGCAATGCACATTCCTACAAAATATTCCGTCTTCTAAATGGTCAACAGTCCTTAAAATGGCACAATAAAACAGGAAGCTCAAACCCCTCATAATCATCTGATATGTTGAGATTCTATAATATAATGATTTCATTGTCACATTGGGGAGCAAGTTAGAGTTTTTCTGTACTCACTGGTTTCACATTGCTTCTTCTTGTTGGGGACACCAAGTGTAGACCACTCAAAAGATATAATAATTAGCTTTTTGTGGTAGTTAATTGTTAATTGCTAAAGTAACAGTCCTAATTTTTCATCACTTGAAAGCTGAAATCCATGGACTGACTACTAGTTTATCTTTCAGTGTAGTTGGGGCAACGTCCAGATCTTGCGCTAGGCTTGGTGTCAGGACTACGCCAGGAAATACTGTCATAATTATAAGAAATATCCACAAATGATTACGGTTATCATATTACTGCTAGGATCCTGGATATCACCATATGCCCCCAAAAACTGCACAATAACAAAACCCCTTGTCCTGTCCTGATCTCAACTGAAAACAATGTCTATAAATCTATAAAATGTTGCTCTGTCATCTGAAATCCAGTAATTCTTTATGTACAAAATCCCCTGCATGCAGTCTCTCACAAAGAACTAGTTGTAGTCCGTGTAAATATGTTCAATGTGTTTCCCGATGCTGTCTGTATCTGTGGTGTGATGAAGCTAACCGCGCAGACAGGACCAGACAGATGGCCCCGAGGAAGTGCACAGCCAATACAAGCTCCGCACAACATGTCTATTGTTTTTCACTTCTTGTATTGATCGTGGTACAGAAAATCATAAGACTAAGGCCCAACTGTTACCAATGGCAGGGTATTTCTCACTGTAGATGCCGTGATTTACTATGGGAACAACAAGGATGGATAGCATTAGGAGTGAGTACATCACAGGGTTATCGCATGTTAAGGGGAGTTATTGTCAGAGGCCAGATTAATGCACTGATAAAAGGATGCTGAGGTTAGTGCTACCAGACAGGAGGCCTACAGGGCGAATAAAGAGGAGATTTATGATAAGAGTGGAAGAGAGAATGTAGTTAGCTGGCATGTTATTTATCAGCTGAAAACGGGAAATCTGCTGAAATATTTCCTCAACCTTATGTAACCTGGGTCTGTCTTTGTGGAGTTTGCATGGTCTTCCTGTGTCTGGTTTGCCTCCATCAACTTAAAAACATTGATAACAGGCAAAAACTTCCATCCTCCACACAGGCAGTCCTGACTAGGGATGGGCATGATTTGTCGATTAAACGATATTTATTCGTTAAGAATTTTGACGATCACGTTCAATTTTAATCGACCAACCAAATTTAGATTGTTGTGCGTAACGTAAAGAGACGAGGCTGAATCTGACAGTGCAAGTACTGCAGTTGTGGCCTCGCAGTCCCACTTTTCAGCTCTGGCACGGCTCCTTGAAGATCACTCTACCACTCAAGTATCCCGTCATGGTGCATGTATACTCACTATCCCTGTAACTGCAACATAAAGTACATGCATCCAAAGGACTCTTTTCAGTCTTTTCATCACAACAGTAGCCAAAATAAATAAAGTGAGTAAAATGACTGTTAAATAAAGAGCTGTGCTAAGAGCTAAGAGCAGCGCTTTTAGTTTATGCAAATGAGCCAAGCGGTTTTAAGTTTTGTTTCTGTAAAATGTAAACAAATGTGCACAAAGCTGCATTAAACACATTATAATCTCAAACGGCTGATGTGGCTCTATAGTGGTTATGGTTTATATGTTGTAAAGTTGAGTTTATTTATGCAGATTAGTAAGAGTAACAATAATGATGATAATTTTAATATAAAACGTTAATGATTAATCGAAAATCAATCGTTAACTCTCCCAACGATCGGTTAAGAAAATTTTATCGAATGTCCATCCCTACTCCTGACGAAGATCTGATACCCGGGTACTTCACTGCGATTGCCCACAGCTCTTGACAGGTTGCCCCAGCGATTTTGAAAGAGGACAAATTTACCTAATAAGTATCAGCTATATTTTACTGTTGATTTATATTTAATAATGCGGTCTATTTCTTAAAGGTCCTATATTACACAAAATTGACTCTTTAAACCATGTTAGACTGTTGTTACCTCATCAAAAACATACCTGGAGTTGTGTTTTGTTTCTTTCACACATCTGAGTAAACCTGCATTGTTGGTCTGACTACATTTCCAAAGCTCAAAATGCTCTGCTCTACCTTGTGATGTCATGAAGTGGTAGTTTTACTTTTTGTTCAGTGAAGATGGGAAATGCCAAAGCTGAAATCATCCAACAGATTCTACTGAAGGTGTATGGAGTTTAAAAACAATGGAGCACTTCCTGTATTACCACATGTCATCACAAGGTGGAGTGTGTTGTTTTTTTTTGAGAGAAGAACTCAACTCAAATATGCAGGGTTTGTGTGCTGAACATGTGTGACTGAAACAAAACACAACTCCGGGTATGTTTTTGGTGAGGAAACAACATAATATAACATAGATCCAAAAATAGCATAATATGGACCATTTAACATGAAATATTTAGGTTAGATATAACATTTATCATCCATTTGTCTTTCTTTTGCAGCTCTAACAAAGATAACCCTGACAGTAACAGCGTGACTCTGGATCTTTCCATTGTTGCCAAAGCACAGCTGGATTTACGTGGGTAAGGCAGACTTGTTTGCATCTCAAAGTGTTGCGTCTTTTCCATGAGGCAGTGACAAATTCTACTGTGGCGTGACTGCCTACCAATGATACGATCTGGTTTCACTCCAAGGTTTTCAGAGTCCGCGGGATATTACCGATGCCTTTATATTGTTTGAACTGGTGGACGGTGTTTATACACAGAGGGAGAACAGCAGGGTAACACATTTCTCAGAATAAACTAATCATTTGGGATAGCTGTCAGAGTATGACATGGTCGCAGATGCACCCACGCTCTCAGTCACTTCAAAGATGCAGCTCATGTGGCGCTGTTTGGGTGTGGTCTACTGAACACATAAACACTGCATGACCTATGAAGAGGGAGAGGAAGACCTTTGACTAAATAACTAAACAAGGTTATCGCAATATTGTTTAAATGTGAGTTTGTATATTTTTATTCTGGCCTCCACTATTTCTAAAACACTTTGAATTAGGCTGCGTTCACACTTGATTTGTCCTGGTTTTACCCCAGTTTAGACCTGATATAGATTTGGTCTTGTCCACATTTAGTCCTGGTTAAGTCCTGGTTAAGTTTATTTCCAGTGTAGCCACAATTTCGATGTGTGTACAGCCGCTCAGTCGTCCAGGTAGAATCCATGGCAAAAGGAGAAATTCAATTTGTCAATTGGACAAAAGTCAATTTGTCAACTGGACAATAAACTTTTGTTCAGTTGACAAATTGAATTTCTCTTTTTGCCCCAATTCTGATGTGAGTTGTGTGGAAATGAGAAGTAAACTTGCCCTCTCTTGCCACTCTCAAATCAATCAAATCAATCTCAAATCACTCTCTTATTCACTTAACTCATCCAAGGGTACTGAGAAAACGAAAGAAATACAGGGAGGACATGACCTTTGTGCTGAAATGAAGGAGTCATGTCCGCCCCAAAAGCCCCAGGACATACCATACATATATATGAGTTAAAGAAATGCCAGAACAAAATTATGCAACAGAGTTATGCAATCTGGCAGTGAGGTATTAACGACTAGTGACTTTGAAAATCCTCCACAGATTTAAAGGGAATGTGGCAAAGAATGATAACATTGTCGCCCTTCATAACGGAGCAGTATTACATTAAGTTAAACATGTCAGAATAACTATCCCCAGACACATTTCACTCTAACACAAGTGTCCTTTGTGCAGAGTGTCTCATCCCTCTCAAGTGGTGCTGCCGTTTCCGCGCTGGGAGCCCAAGAAGAAACCTGTGAAAGAAGATGATGTGGGCCCTCAAGTTACACACATCTATGAGGTAAATGTTACTGTCACACAGCTTTTGTAAACAGCTTTTTAACTGTGAGAAATCTTATCAAATACTCTATGAACAATAAGTTTTTCTTGTGAGATGATGACTAGCAAGAAAGTGATAAGAAAAATTTGGATAGAAGAGATTATTTGAGATTTTGTACAGGAAACATTTGATAGAAAAAAATGTCTTAATAATAATAACATGCTTAATATTTAAAGATGCTTTGTGTAACTTTGCAATGTTTCTATGGAGGGTCTGGTGGAGATGTTATTACTTGGTCGTGAATGTTCCACAGTATGGCTTTAAACTTATCTGCCAACAAGCAGGTGACGTCACCACAGCAACTTCCAAACTGTAAAAACTTTATCAAACAACAGTAGTCAGATTTTTAGTTTCTACTTCTACTGACAAGATGAAAGAGGCCCAGAATTGGAAGGGGAAGTTGTAAATCAAAATGTTTTCTTCAGCCGTTCTTCACAGACTTGCTCCAGTAGCTCCATAAAGACAGGAGCTCTGGCTGATCAAAGGTCTCCAGCTAAGGACTAATTACTGCAGTAAAAGTAGGAACGAGAGGAGAGGAAACTGGAAAGAAAAGGTGGAAAGTCAAAAGAGGAGGGAAATTCACTGGGTTGTGTGTAACGATTTATAACTGCAGCAAGGTCAAGCAGAGGTACAGTCAAAGAGATAAGTGGAAGGACATAACACACAGGCTGGCGACGGCTTACAATAGGGGCTGTGAGGGTGCATGTATAGTAAAATTAGGATTCACATTTCATCAGAATTGGGACCAAACTGAGTCTAAACCTGGATTTGACTAGAACAGGACCAAACCAAGTCTAGATGAGGAGTAAACAGGCAACATAGTCGAACCAGGTCTGAACCACATGAAGGAGTCCTGAGACATACAAACAACATACAAAAAAACAAACACTAGGAAAATTATTTGGACACCCTAGCTCAAAAATACAATATAAAGCCCCCTGTTTATTTATTTTGAACATGTGTCTTCAACATTTAAAGCATCGTAACAAGGTGAAAAACACAAGGACAATGCTTAAAATGTGAAATCACTTTTGAGGTTTCAGCTATGTCCTAACAATGTTCCTTCATCATCAACTTACTTACGATCTATGTATGTTTTGTAGATTTGTACGCAAAGTAATTCAAAGTGCTTTACAGAATAAGAAAGACATTACTGTTACTGTTGCATTCAAGGCTTGAGCGCTCTGAAAAAATCAGTTTTCACCTTCCCCTTATCTCCACTCATTGTTTTCTACTTGCTTCTTGCATTGCATACTTACCGGTATTTAGTGGCGGCAATTTGGGGGTTCTAGGTGAACTTGAGTCTGGGGCCCTCACTATAATGCACCATTTTTTTGTTGTGTTTTGTTTTTTAAATATATTTATTGTCTGTTTTTCTCCATTGTTCTTGAGACATGCACATCTGATTTTATTTGAATTATGGTGGATTGGAAACTTCGGTCGCCTATTAGATAACAAGAGCTGAAAGTAGTTTTTTTGATAGTACAGTTACATTTTTGTTTACATCCATTACATGTGATTATTATTATTTTCTCATGATTATTGTTTAAAAATAAACTACTCTCATTTAATGTCATATTGAGAGAAAATCTAATTGCTCTGAGGCCATTAGTGGCACTGAGGGCAACTGGGTGGGGGCTCCTTCAGATTTGGGGGCCCTAGTGAGCTCCAATTTTTGCCTAATAATGCCACCGCCTCTGCCGGTATTCACAAAATTCTCCATAGTTTCATATGTGTAGTGTTCAAACATGCCGTAGTCAGTTTTCAGCATTAAAAACAAATAAAATCTTGCCACAGTGAAATGTCGTCGTGAAGAGGCAGCCCCTTTCTGCAGTTTTGAACAGGAAGTCAGTGCATCTGTTCCTTTTATTATATTGCACATTGCTGCTTGTAATTAACAACATGTAAAATAATGATCTACACATGTTATTGATTTAATAGCATAGTAAAAAAAAAAAGCATAATATGTTTTCTTCAAGGTCAACAAATAGTACAGTCAAATAGATAGCAGTGCAGACAGGTTGGCGACAGTTTACAATAGGAGCCTTAAGTGTGCATATGATTTCTTGTGCTTTTAAAGGGACTTCTGGCTCATTGGACCGAAGTGCAGCGGTGTCTGGCCTGTCCTGCAGCTGATAATGATTTTCATTTGCAGAACTTTTTCCAGTTGGCAGCTGCTTCTAGTTAAAGCGGACGCTGTTTTTGCACTCACAGAATTCCTGCCCCTCGGCACTTCAGTCCTGTTTTAACGCTAATGACCATGTCTATAAGTGCAGCGAGTAACAGACAGTGAGAACCCGCAAAGAGGATTTATTGAATTGATGGTTCATTTAGGCCTATCTTTCTTTTATCCCCTCTGATGAGCAGGTGAAGGACGAGGTTTAGCTTGTCTCTTGTTTCAATCCCCAGTGGAAGACGACGGCATTAGGATCAGTTTAACCCCGCTGCAGGTGGCTTGTGTCTTCATGCTGCAGTTATGATAACCTAATTGGAGCCCAAGTCACTAGAGACAGCGCCAATAAAGACAAAGGGAAAATCAAAACTGACATCCACGCCATGTTTTGTCTCCCTTAATTTCTTTACTGTAGTGAGGAAGACGGTGTTGCCAGGAGAGAAAATAGAAGTCATAAATACATGCAGTGATTAGGCTGTACTGTTGTGGTAGTGTGTAGGTGTGTGTGCATGAGGTATTCATCGTACTATGGGGACTGAAATCTATACAGAGTTACTTCACAGGGACCTTGTGCTTTTTGGAAACTGTATTAATCATTAGTTCAGTTCAGTTCATAAAATCAGTTCCCCTTATTAGATCAGCAGTATGGTTTAGTGTTGATGTTTTAATGGCTTTATAAAGACATTGGTGTAGGTTATAGTTAACAGGGTTCCCACGGTCATGGAAATCCTGGAAAAGTCATGGAAATTGAACATGTAATTTTCCAGGCCTGGAAAAGTCATGGAGTTTTGTAAATTCAGTTAAAGTTTTGGAAAAGTCATGGAATTTTAGTATCTCTTTCACGTATCTACAGTGTTCTGTTAAGTTATCATCAGGCTATGATTATTTCCGACACTGGTGTAGTGGGGATTTTTTAAGTGGGGTTACGCGATTCCTGACTGAACCAGGAGGAATAAACCAGGACTAAACCAGGACTGAACCAGGACTGAACCAGGACTAAACCAGGTCTAAACCAGGTCTAAACCAGGACTAAACCAGGATTAATCTTGGACCCCTCATGTCACAGGTCACTATGTAGTTTGTTTTCACCGTTACCAATTGCTCCAGTTTGACATTTAAGTTGTAGCTATTTTATATTTGTTATTTTATTATATATCACGTCTGGAGAAGTGGGTGGACAGCGTACCCCTGTGTACCATGCTTACTACACCCCTAATTTCCGAACATATGCACCTTTTGTTTAAAATAGACGACAGTAAATGCACTGACAGTATTTTGAATGTTAAAAAACTATAATCCCAAACTATAAGGTGAGTGGAAAGTGTTAACATGTCATATTTAACCCTAAAAGTATGATCTATTCTACACATGTAGTGTGCTGTAATGTCATGGAAAATTCACTTCAAAGTCATGCTAAAGTTGTGAAATTTTGTCTTTTGAACCCTAAGTTAAGGTTAAGGTTAAGGTTAGTCAAGCATTAAATCAGGTTCTTTCTTGCTTTGTACCAGAAACAATACACTGACTTTCATTTCCTGGTGACTGAACTCACTTTGTATGTTTAAGTCAATGCAATGTATTTTTTATGCAGAAACCCTGCATATTTATGCGAAGTTCTTCTCTCTAATGAAAAACACTGTTTCACCTTGTGATGTAACGTGGTAATACAGCAAGTGTTGTGTTTTTAAACTCAACTTGTGTAATGTAGGACTTTAAACAGCTGAATAAAAAGCATGTAAGTCTAACATTATTGCTCATCATTGCTAATGCCATCTTCATTTATTGTAGTTGGTTTAATTTTAATGGCAATTTTGGATGTTCACATATATATTTCTGTATTTTTCTATGTATCACAACAGTTTTTTGGTCTCTGTTTTTCTTCTGTGTAGCTGCATAACTGGGGTCCCAGCAGTATCCGGGAGGCTGAGCTGCAGGTTGGTTGGCCGGCCCGTTTCCGCGATGAGAACCTGCTGTATGCTATGGAGATTCAAACTGACGGACCAATTAGCTGCCGGACAAATACCAGCCTCAACCCTCTCGGCCTCCAGGTAAAAACATATCTGCCAGATCATTTGAACAGACATGGACTCACAACACTCTACTGTATTTTATTATTATGAGGCTTTTGTTTAGAGGACCTGCCCAAACATCTTTCACATTGTAAAGACATCTGACCACTAATCTACCTTTCCATTCTTGCCAAAACCTCTGATTGAAAGATATTTATGACATTATACTCCTGGTTTATCCATTAGTGGCTCATTGATTGTTCCAACTGCTGCCCAGGCCTTTGCCAGTCGGTTTATAGAGTCAGCAACAACAAGTCTAATAGTGGACATTATATACTGTAGTTTCCAGAGAGCGGTTCAAAAGAAAACATGGAAAAAAGACATGATTATGTTTTAAGTGCGATGTAATGACTAAGCAATTCATCAAGAATGTTTTAAACCTTGTCCGTCAAATGAGCTGCGTAATGAGCTACTGTGGTTCTGTGTGTTAAGAGAAATCACTCATCTGCTGTAAGTTGCTGATGGTAAAGTAATGTAATATGATGTGTTAGCCGTATAACTCACTGAATTAGATCAATAAAAAGTCCAAGTATTACTCATACTTCAGTAATGACATGTTTATAATAATTAGATCCTAAAAAAAAACATTTTGTCTGTAGATCTCCACTGCTCAAGACACACCTGAACTTCTGGGATTTCTGAGGAACACCAGTGTCTCTCACCATCGCAGCAAACGGGCCATCTCCTCTCATAGTTACACAGGCAAAACTCTGGTATGTTTTCTATCATTTTTGTATCATTTTTTAGAAACAAAATTATTTGAAGGCTAGCTGCCAAAACATTGTCAGAAATGAAAACCAAACAAAAACAGACATCTGCCACCAGAGTGTGCAGTGCAGTCTCTTTTTTTTTTTTTGCTTTTCCTTGAAAGTTTATTGTTGTGCTTTACTGTTTCATTTAAAACGAACAAAAGAAAAAGCTATACACATACATAGAAAATTATGTATTATGTAGACATTTCTCTTTCCGTTTTGCAATGCAAACAATCATTTATCTAGACTGAAAGTTTATATTTTGGTCATGTTGTCAAATTTAAATATATACAATCAATTAACATGTGGCTTTTGAAGTTCAACCAACCATAATTTATGATTTATGATTATGGTGAACAGGAAAGCTGAAATACGCCTAAATATGATAAACTATGAATAAATGAACCAACTTTGGTCCAAACAGGACATGAATAAAAAAAGAGTTTAAATAATACTACAGAGGACCTTGAGTAAGACCAGAAGAAACTTCCCATAGTTCCCATACCACAGTTTGCGTACCATTGTACCTAAGTGTGTTTTCTAAATCCACTTCTAACCCTTTGGCTGGTCTGCTGCAGAACTGCACAAACATCTCCTGCTTGAGAATCCAGTGTGTGGTGGGAAGACTGGACCGAGGACAGAGCGCTGTGGTCAAAGTCCGCTCCCGAATGTGGGCAGACACTTTTCTCCAGGTCAGTGTCAGAGACTGTGTTTAATACATACAACATACTCACTGCAAAACGGTTACATTTGGTAAAATTACTATATTATTTTTGTTTTTGAGTATTTGTGCAAATTCACATTTAGAAATACAATTATATTGTTTGTTTGCATTATGTTTACATAATTTTGAGGAGGCAGTATTTTAAGTAGTGGGTTGACTATTCAGTCACACATATTATACACATCCACACTGTTATACTTCAGAACGCTTCTCCCACCTTATATGTCTGATTGTAGTGTGCAAGTGCTTGGTGGTGGTTGGGAGTAGCATTATTTTCAGTATTAAGTCTTGGGAAAGTTGTAGCCACCAAGTAGGGAGTGAGTGAATAATATTGACCTTTGAGGAGCTTATAAAGCCCATTCATTGGTTATAGCAATGGTAAAAACTAGCCTACTTGAAACTAAATAAATATTCTGAATTCAAATCAATTTATCCCGATATCCCTCTTATGCAGTGGAATATTTATTAAGTACAGAAATAGACGCCTTAGCAAAGAAAATGGTCTTATGGATTTAATTGCTTGGTTGATACACAAATGTTATCTTCAGCCTTTATCTACTCCTCCGTGTTTCTATAGGGCTTCATACATTTACATTTGTATAGTAGATCAGTCATTCTCTTAACTAGCTTCCAGTCCTAAATTAAGTCCTGGCCTCTGTATGCACTCAATTACTCTTTGTAAATAACATGTGTTTTCAATGCAGCATTTAACCAACAATTGTTGTGTTTACAGCGACATAATGACCCCTACATTCTCAACTCCACTGTGTCCTTCTTGGTCACGGCTATGCCTTACCGCGTCCAGCCCACGTCTCTACCTCAGCACACTACCTCGGTAAGATCACGACACTAAATGAATGAAACTTAAGACTGTTTGCTGCAAGTGTAGTTATGGGTCATATAGGTTTTACTGTTGTCACTAATGATATTTTTACGTGGATTTGATACTAAGCAAAAGGCTCAGTTCACCTTTTTAAACAAGTGATAATGAACAAAATAATAGTTATATGCATGGTGTTAAAATTAGGGTGACCAGATTTTCAAAGTTCAAAACTGGGACACACTCAGGTTGGGATGCCTCGTATAAATAAAATTGTGAAAAGAGCGTGTAACATTGTGCATTCTCATGTCAATCCTAATCTGGGGGACTTCTGTTGCTGTATTTTTTTGCTTTATGGTCATTAGCAAACACAGTTTTCTGTATTCTGGCAAAACAAATGACAATTTATGCTCCTCTTTACTGTTGGAGGAGGTCAGATTAGGCAAATTTGGGATAGTCCTGTTTTAGTCCTGGTTTAGACCTAACATAGTCCTGGTTTAGTCTTAATTTAGTCTTGGTTTAGACCTGGTTTAGATCAAATTGGTCAGAAAAAGGGACATCTAAGACAATTCTTGTATAAAACTGGGACAAATCACTGTTTTCGTGTAAATCTACTGGGACAGGGGATACAGGGCTCAAAACTGGGACTGTCCTGGAGAAACAGGGGTGTCTGGTCACCCTGGTTAAAATAGTTCACAACAAAACAATTCAGGAAAGCTACATTTGTTTATATAGATCTTTTTTTCAGTATCGTAATCAAGTATCTAGTTTCAATAATAGTTTTAATATTGTTAGTATCTGGTTATCAACAAAACCAATCGGTTGTATTCACATGATACCACAACTTGAGATGAAAAACAGGTCAATTTTCAGGAATTGACTGCCAAAAGTGCAGATGTTTTGAAATTAAACAAAAACTGGTACAAAGATTTTCTTGTCATCTTTCATCAAAAGTGTATTATTCATATTACTCATAATAGTTTGATAGAAGTCTATTCATTTGATTGGGCCAAAAATGAATACAGCAATATTTCTGAGTTGTCTCTTTGCCTGATTACTTTACTTTCAGTGAGACTTTATCTCTTCCTTTTCTTTGTATCTAGATGGGTACTCACGTATTATGGGGCACTCCAGATGTGTCCTTTGCAGTTCCACTTTGGGTCATCATCCTTGCCATTTTGTTGGGACTGCTAGTGCTTGCGATGCTGACGTTAGCCATGTGGAAGGTAAGACTGTCCGCTGTATATACATTGTCCCTTTATTTCTTATGCTAAACTCTTTTAAACATCTATATTTGTATGTGCAGTGTGGTTTCTTTGACCGGGCACGACCACCAACCAACGATGACATTTCTGACCAGGAGCAGCTCACCTCTGATCAGACGGGGGACGCCTAAGACTTTACTTCTCAAATACGGACAATAATTTGGGAAGAAACGTGCACCTTCTGCGTAACCTGAATCTGTTGACTCTGAACAACAGATGTTTGGGTTTGCGTGAAGCCTTCTAACAATCGGAGGGCTGTTGCACCAATGAACAAAGTCTGGATGTGGCGCTCCATTTGATAATCTGTCTGTTCTGACAAAGCAGCCGAACTGAACCGAATACAAAGGGCTGTTGTGGAGGCAAACCGTTACAGATTTTATAACAGCTAAAATGGTTTTGCATGTGGAGTCGTGAGACACAGTAAAACTTCAGAACAAAGAGCTGGGAGATAATGACAATATTAACAATTAATATCTCAATCATTTTTGTGTCTTAATAACAATATTCAATCCAAATATAACGCTGCATCAGGAATGTACCAAAATGTGCCTGTAAATGTCTTGGTTGAGATTCAAGTATGGCACAAAATGTGAATGGACCATATAAATAATTGTGGAAATATCACATTGAGCATGAGAATCAAATACAGACTTTAAAACAGACTCCAAAAAACCTGCTTTATTAAATCTAAATGTCAAACAAATAATGAACAATTTCTGATTTTCACCATGAAAAGTTTTTGTAAATACATCTAGAGGCATTCAGTCACCAAAGACTAACATTTATTTGGTTAAAAATGTAGTTATTGATACTTTGCAGCTAAGGGTTAAGGTGAGGGTGTGATGCTAACTGAAGGTACCACTCTGTCTGAAGCTCTGTGACTCAAGTTAGTTAGACTTTAATCTGACAGTTGAGATGATTTGTGTTTTTAAACAAGCCTCACACCTAAAATTACAGTCACAAGCTAGATGCAGTTTTTCAGTTAGTCACTCTCACTTTTTTGTTGAAAATCACAACACTTAAACAGGACCATGAACGCTTGTATTGATCACAGGCTCCTGAACATGTGTTGTTTGCATAAATTGTGTATGTTTTCAGACTACCTTAAAGCATTTCTGTGCTTTGTGTCTCCATAACTACTGAACTTTCCACCATAGAGACACATGGAGAACACCCCCGGCACAATGTTACTGCAAAGTATCAATAAAATCTAATTTAAATGCACTCAACATTTCACAACTAATCAAAAAAATGATTGCTGACTAGTCAATTACTAAAATAATTGTTAATTGCAGACATGTTAGAGATAGATACATTAGATACATGTATTTGAATCTTCAAAACATCAATTACGATATTAATTTTTTGTCATATCTCTCCACACTAATCAAGGCACATGGGACATAATGTGAGGCTGTATATATACGCATATGTGGCTCTTGTGTTCCCTTGTATTGAACTGGGCATCTTCTTGATCTAATTTATCCTCATTGACTCACCACAGCGGACCTACACACCAAACACGGAAGCAGCCACATGCGTAAACATATAGGGCACACAGCTGATGTATATTTATGAATGTATGTGCAATATTGTTGATACTGAAGCTTGTTTACACTGGCATAATTTTATTGTTGTTTTCATTGTCTCTGTATATAAGTGGTATTTTATTAGTGTAAATGAAAAACAGTTGTCTTGAATTGAGCACCACCATGTAACGTTTGAAAGCAAAAAAGTAAATTATTGTTATAAGAGAATGAATGAGTTTTATCTGCTAAAAATGTTTGTCCAATGCAATCCCTGCCTTGCCTCTTTTACAAATGTTTATGTTTAATCACCACGGCAGCCGAAACTCTAGACATAAATATTTCATATCAAAAGCACAACCAAATATGAGGCATTCTGTGGGACAATGTGGATTTTATCAGTGTGCTGGACTGATAGTAACCAGAGCTGAGACCAGTTGAAGGAGTCTTTTATGCTTGAGTCATAGTTGTGTTTTGTATCATGTGTGAACTTTATCAGAATAAAGTGGTGTTGGAGAACTCTTGTCTGCCTCACATTCTTTCATATAAACTTATATGTTTTCAGTTTTTCATCCATCTAGTGAGGAGTCTAGACCCCTCTTGTGGCTAAAATTGTGGACTACACGTGTGTTATTGGAGGATAAACAGTGACCTCTTGTGGCGTGTAGGTGGTACTACAACTACATTTGTGTTACATTTGGTACTGAGCCTTGATAAAACTTGAAAACTACAACGACTAATCGGGTTCATCGTGACCCGTCGATTATTAAAACAATTTTAATTTTAATGAAGGTAATTTTTTTTTTTCTGGACCAAAAATCAAACAAAATAGTCATCACTAATACACTTCACTCAAATATTCTGTATCTTGAAGCAATTAGTCACATCACCATATATCAGCTATTATTTGGTTAAGAATGTAATTAAAAAGCTCAGTGTACAATAAAAATATTGTTTGACTAGTCTATTCATTAAAACATTAACTAAATCATGGATGACAAGTTTATTTTTTAATATATAATTCTTGTTAGAGGATGTCATGTTAGACTATTGCAACTTTAGTATACTTTTCTGTGTGTACATTTACAGATATGTTGTTATATTGTGTTGTGTGTAACAAACAACTAATAATTACAACTTTCTTTATATTCTTTATTTTAATATATTTGATCAAAACCAAACATCTGAAGTAAAGATTTAACAGTTTCTGACTAGTAAACCTCGACACCATCAACATAAGGGAACATCATTGATACTTACAACATACTGTACGTTACATGTTAAAACATACATGTATGCTAAGCTTCAGATTTATCAGATAAACAGATCTCAATTACAAATCCCCTGATGGGCAGAGCTGGTGAAAGAAAACATTTGAGTGAAGCGGTAGTTTGTCAAAGAAACACTGATAACAATTCACTTTGATGATCTGTACAAACATTATAATGGAAGACTTTGGCTATTTACAATTAGTCGTGCTGTACAATAAACAATAAACTCCATTACCCACAATTCAAAGTGCAAATCCAACACTCACTTCCTTTAGAGTGGCCACCTCCGAACAGCGTTATTAAAAGTCTAGATAACTGAATTACTTTTACAACTTTCAACCACTGTGTTTCCAAAAGTTTGTAATGACCTCTTCCTATTCTGGTGTTTGCAAAACCTCCACTTCAAACTAACTTTTCTTTACCTAGGATTGGGCAATAGGACAAAGAATTAATATAATCCTAGAACCTTAACTAAAAACAGTAGGGGTGTGCAAAATTGAAATATCGATATATCGTATCGCTTAATTTGATGATCCAGTATCAATATCGAGGACTGCTGTATCGAGATATTGCTGAGAGTACTTTCAGGTATATTTTACTAAATTATTTTGAGTAAGAGCTACGATTGTGTTGATATTTTCGCTGTTCTGAGTAAAATGGGTGTTTTTCATATTAACTTTGCACAAATTTAGTTGACTTATTGGACTTTTACTTTCACAGCCATGATTTAGCCTTTGTTTTTCACTTAACCATATCGAATCGATTTGAAATATATATCGAATTGTATTGAATTGAAAGTGCACTGTATCGAAAAGCATTTCATAGTGTGGCCTATGTATCAAGATATGTATCGCATCGACAACTTCTTAACGATAACCAGCCCTAAAAAACAGTCTTCTCTTGAAAGTTCACATTTCATTGTGATTTGTGATTAGTTAAATCCACCTGTCACTCACCCAGAGCATGACAGAGACGACTGATGGTAAATGTCAATTTCACCAAAACAGTATATGTTTACAGGGATCAGATCGTTATTAGATTTTTATCATCATATAACCCAGCCCTACAATGAAAAAGGGCACTATGTAACTTTTCTGGTCTGCCACCTCAATACCTTTATATAGATATACTTTATTTTTCTGGAATGTTCCAAAGAATTACATTAAACTTCTCGAGGGAAATAAGCAGTGATGCCACCAGGCCAAGTTACAGTCAGATCTGTCAAGCCTGCTTACTGTAACAAAGGATGTTTTTTTCACATATTACTTGGCAAAAAAAAAATAGATGGATCTTTAATACCAGGCTGTGGAACATTGCAGGCAAAGCAGGTCACCAGAAAAGTTACACAGTGCACCTTTAACGCATTTCAACTTTTCCGCCAAACTTAACTAAGACAGAAAACACATTGTGATGAGGCATTGGTTTTACATTGTAACAACAACCTAAGAGCTAAGAGGAGAACAGTCACGGGGCAGTGTTTAGCCTGAGCAGTTCCACACAAACAGGAAACAGTCGGGTTCACGATAAAACACATTTGAGAGAGAAAGGGATTGTGGGTAATATTTGGGCTAATGATATCTTTACATTGTGTGGTTTTAAATGGACATGTTCCCAAGAGACATTCATGATATAGTGAGATCAATACACGCAGAAGTGCAGAGTTCATTTCTGAATTGCGATGGAATGATTGAAGAAGTCACTGTCACATAAACAGTACATAGGCTACATAAAGGTTAGAATATCTATACAAAGTAATGCTATACACTTTAAACAATCAATTCACTGTACAATATCAACACACGCTGGCTAGTTAGCTCTACAAATTTCCCATTTTCTTTCAAAACTAGCTCTAACCTTCATCAAAAATAAAAAATAGTTTGCCCAATAGTTTACATTCCCTGTCCTGGTTTATAATGCTTGTAAATGGACCCGCAGGAGGACGTAGTGGTAAAGTGAATTCAAACAGTCTTAAGAGCTGAGGAGAAGGGACATCGCTGCCATTTTATTTTTGACTCTCTACCACCGACGACAAAGTGCTGCTGCTCAGAAAACGCACAAACTCGCACACAAATGCACACACAAATGCACACGCAAACGTACTCTATTCCTGAGTATGAACTGTAGGAGATTTTTGGTGCTACTCTACTTGATAAAAAGACCTCAGTACGAACTGAAACATAAAAATACCAAGCTGAGAAAACAGGCATGAACTTGAGAAATGCATGCCACAATTGAGGATGTGAGTGTTGCCTGATCAGCCAGTCCCTCATACTTTCTGTCTTTGTAAAGTATTGTAAAAGCGTGTTGTTTTGACTGGTCAGGCAAATGTGAAGGTAGTTTAAAAGCCGACCTAAAACCCGGAGTAATTGTAACTGTAAAAAACATTATTAAGGCTATATTCTGTAAATAAAAAACAAAATGACAACATGATCAACTCACACACTTCAGGAATTTACGAATATCTGTCAGCCAAATACAGTATGATCAGTCCAGCTAATACAAATAGGATTGTTTTTCTTTTGTCCAGTTTTCGATACAGCACGTGTACCTGCCTAGGTCTAAAAAAATGGGATATAAAGTTTAACATTGTTTTGATTTGCTGTATTAGCCAAGACTGAAGCTACCAGAGGTTGACCGATATGTTTTTGTGTTTTGATTTGTCATTACTAACTGCAGATTTTGATAGAGCAGCCAATCAGAACATTACATTTTGGAGACATTATGGCTGATTATGATATTCCTTCCCTAATTATGTGATACTAAATTACTATAATCTCAGTAACTTTTGCACAGTTTTGCATTAGACAAGTAGTTTAATCGTCTAGTAGGGGTATTAGGAAAAATAAGATATAGCATATACCCACAAAAAGCATTGATTTTTAGGCATTCCCAACAACTCTATCAGAGAGAGAGATTTGAGGTTGATAGTCGAAATAAAGGGTAAGTAATTCTTAATTGATAATCCTAATTTAAAATAATTGCAAATACTGATAAATCAGTCTTTCTAGAAGCTACATCCTCTGATTTGTCTAACTGCACACAACATAAAACACACACACACACACATATATCACACAGCACAGACCAGCTGCTCCTAAAGAATTATGAGAAATGAAAAATTCAAAATGAGTCAGCAGTCTCCGACCTCCACTCTTCATAAGCCAAAGAAACATGAACTAAGAGTATGTTTTCTGCATTGGTCAGCTGGTTTGTAAGGTTTGAACCACCACACCACTTGAATAACAATATAAAATTATTAACATAGCTTCTCCAGAGCACAAGATCCACTCAAACATTCACTCTGCTTCCATTTCCCATTGATTGCACTGATCTCGAGTATAATATATCTCCATTAGAGTCACACCAGTATACTTCACCATTGATATTTGATTTTTAGGAAAGAAAGAGGTGTTCTGTATGTCTATATTACATACAGTTTATATTACAGTAGTCTGGAAAGTAAATGAAAAAAGCAAAAACCCCATCAGCGTTCACTTCCTGTACTGGAGTGTCCCTCGATGCTGATTTTGACGTCATGGGGGATAAAGGAGGGTTTGGGCAGAGAGGGGGGCGGTCCATCCTCCCCTTTTTCAGTTTGGTCCCGTTCAGGAGCTGACCAGCGTCTTTTCCGGACAGTCTGTCTCTGTGGGGTCCCGTTTGTATCATTTTGAACCACTTCCTCCCTTACATCATGCCCAGGACTGTTCCTTGTTGTAGGATCAGGGTTCAGACAGGATACGGGGAGGTCCATGCTCTTGAGTTTTGCCCCTAAAATCGGCCCGTCCTCTGGGAGTGCCCCATTCCTGAGTCCGCGGAGGGTGAGGGACACACACACGTCGCCCACACACAGTTTAGCGCAGGACAGTTCAAACAGCTGGGTGGTCCGGTCCGGGCAGCAAGAAGACCAGCCCTGTCCGAATACAAAGAAAGGGTACTCCACCAGGACCTCCACACACACCTGGAGAACAGACAAAGGACAAAAGTCAAAATTTATACAATGCATTGGAATAAATAGTTTTCCTACAGCGTAAACTCTGGAGAGGACAATGGATAGCTGACGGAGAACACAAAAACTAGGCCATTTCTTGGATTCTGCTGTATTACTTGGAGTGTTTCAGAGTAGCAATAAACATATTTATTTTACATTTATAGGTTACTGTTGTTTTTGTTGCTAAAAAGCTACTTTGAAATCATGTTTTCTTACTGTATGACCTCTAACTTGGCCATGTAGCATCACTCGCATTTGTGGGAAATTCTGGCAAAACAATAACATGTTCATGAAGAAAAGCAGGTGGTGGACCCTCTACCAGAAAAGTTATGTAGTGCACATTTATTTATTTATTCATTTATTTATTTATTTAATGAGACAGGGACAGTGCACAATTTACAATAACTTTAACAGAAGAGATACACTGTACACTGTGGTGTTGTAGCACCAGTGCTAATTTCCACCTGTAGTCCCTGGGCAGGTTCATTGATTGATTGTATTTATTTGACGTTAGCTGTTAACTGTTCCTGGAGACCTATGTAGCATGTTTTGGGTTGATGGGGGAAACCGGATTATCTGGGCACAAAATAAGTTAAATATCGTTTATATGTTGCAAACTTCAAATTTCCTTTGCAATCAATAAAATATGTATGTCTCTATTTATAAAAAGTGGAACTAAAGGACAAATACCTGAATGTGTATGCAGCATGTCCATCTGCCACATTAATAATTCTCATAATTCATAATTCATGAGTTGCCATGGCAAAAAGAGTTACCTGCGCTTTGAGCTCTCCCACTGAAAACTGTATGACCACAGCGTTGGGTGTTTGTCCGCTGTCGATGCGCTCCACGGTACTGGAGTCGATCTTAAGCTCACTGCTGATTTCTGCGCTTTGAATGAAGTCTTCTGTCTTCAAGTCCTCTACTCTCTTCAGCTCCCCATCCGCCAACTGAATGATGGACCCTCGCATGAAAAAGGGAGGGAGGGGCACAGGCGAAGAGGGAGAGGAGATGGAGGGAGAGGCCTGGATGGACACGGGTGCAGGAGAAGGTGTGGGTGAGGGGGTAGGGTTAGCAGGTGGAGCTGGCAGTGCGGGGGCCTGGGTCACAGCAGGCACAGCTTGGTTCCCATCTGGCGCTAGCGCTTCACACTTGGACAGCGCCGTGGCCAGATAGGCGTGGGGCATGGCGGTGGATATTTGCGGGGTCGTGGTAGCGGTCAGGGCAGTTACGGCACGGCTAACCTCCATCTCTGTACCGTTATTGGCGCCACTGACTGGAATGAGGAGAGACTGTCCGCTCGGGATGACCACATGCTGGGGCAGAGCTGTGTGGTAGCTTACGGCATGCTGATTGCTGCTGGTGATGTAGCCGATGATGGGCGGTTGTGCGTTGGAGTAAATGTTAGCCGGTATCTCCTCATGGGGGAGGGTAGTTTGGATGACAGCGTGTGGAGCAACAGATTTCACCACATCGGAGGACGGGAGGGGAGTGAATGAAGAAGTCCTGGCCACTGGTTTTCCTAAACAAATTCCGCCCTTGTCAGTCTGGACTATTGAGATCTTGTTTGTTTCATGATCAGTGGCGTGGTTGGGCTGAGCCACCAGCACTAGAGATGTCTGCAGTCCTGATGAGTTTTGGCCATAGTCCGCGGGCAAGAGGATGTGTCTGGCTTCATAACTCTGAACCGGCTGGTGGTTTATTGGCTGACTAGTAGCTTTGGGGTGCTTAACCACTTCTATCTCCCCATTCAGCATCGCTTTTCCCTCCAGCTTCTTTCCATCTGTATACTGGACGACAAGCTGAGAGGGGGCAAGGGTAAGAGTTTGGGGCAGAACAGCTGTGTGCGGGTGGAGCTGGAGATGTGTTGTGGGTGAAGTGACTGCGTTTCCACTCACAGTTAGCGGGGCACGGCTGTCCAGATGGATGTACTGATTGGGGACTTGTGGGCTACTGGACAGGGTCACAGGTGTAAGCTCTGAGGGGGAGAGACCCATCTGAAACTGGTGCTCTGCTTTGGTGTTTGAAGAGATGATGGCGGTCGTGTAGCCGTCCACTTGAGGGCGCTGCTGCTGTCCCACTGAGCTGTTTGGCACTGTGTTAGCGTTGGTAGTAATAATATGTGAAGAGATGTAGCCAGCGTATGGCCCAGAGCTGATGAACTGGACGTTGGGTGCTAGTTGGGCTAATTGGATTGCCCCAGCCTGTTGTGGGAGGGCAGCGGGGTAAACTGTAGGCAGGGAGGCTAAAGGGACCGCAGCCAGAGCAGTGGAGGATATAGAAGAGGAAGGAGAGGCTGAGGAGGCAGATGACACAACACATTTGGGACTTTCTGCATCTCTGGATTTGCAGCGTTCACTTGCGACACTGGCCAACCACGCTAGGTTCTCCGTGTGCAAACTCTCAGCAACCACTGCGGCCGCTGGGGGTGCCGCTGCTGCCATGACGACGGGACGCTGCTCCAGGGCCAGGATCTCACGCTTCTTTGGCGGCAGGCATCCATTACTCCGCTCCTGGTTGGATTTCATTGTGCCAAAGAAGTTGAAGTTGAGGTTGAAGAACGCTCCTCTGAAAGTAAAGTGTTCTCTAACACTGGTTTTATGCACAGGCCAGTTTCTTTGAAAAAGAGAATAACTTTAGTGTGCACACAAGTGGACAGGCGCAGGAGCACAGCTCAAGCTCACTAGAGGAGCTCTGGTCTCTTCATGGGGAATCATCTCTGGACAAAGTGTCTTCTTCACAAAGACAACTGGAATCTGTAACACAGAAAAACAAAAATAATTGTTGCAACAATTAAACAATTAAATTAATCTTTTGTTACATAAGGACATAAATGATGAGTAAAGATGGATGCTATTTCTTTTATAAAGCTGTATTCCAAATATTTATTTTAAAACTATTTAAAGTAATTCATTGTTTAGCCACTAAGTGATATCTTGTGTTACTTTTGACACATCACATCACTCTGCATACCTATTTTTGCCATAACGTATACACCCAGAGGAAAGGACTGTCAAAACTTTTAAATCAAGTATAACTAGGCCACTCCAGTGCAATAGAAATAAAATAAGTGGCTAAACATAGTAAATTCATTTTTTTCTTCAGTATTTATTAATATTTAAGTTGACTGATATTACAATTATTTTTGTTATATTTACTGAATTGTGCCCTTAACTTATTATATTAAAGTGCACCTGCGTGCACTTACATTTATAAAAACTAGAGCTGCCAAATTTACATTTAATCTATTGTTCTTGCCATAGCAGCAAACTAAAATATAACATATACATATGGTCCTCAGTCTGACAGAAGTCATTGTTGTTTTATTTTTGTTGTATATTTTCTTGTCTATGATCAGTAAAGCTTTAAGAGTATGTACAAATATTTAAAAAGAAATTATAAAACATGTTGAATAACATCTTGATATTGTTGCTTTAAGTGTCTGAGTGACACATGCTTATCTTCGGGTCACTGGACTCTCGTAGCTCATTAGCCAAAAGCACCACACATCTGACATTCATTCATTCTTCTCCATTTACAATTCATTCAGCACAACAATCATTGTAGACAAGTGTAAATTAACATATTTTAGTGGATGTTCCCTTTAGCTGCAGTTAAAAACATTACATAAAGGCCCATGAGGAAAACACAGAGGTCAATATTTGGTCAGTACATCAAATGCCCCGAAAGAGATGGTTTAGTCAAGGTCACTGTATTAACTTAACACGGGTCTATTTTTCGTCTCACGAAGCTAAAACAAAAACAATGAGCTGGACACAGGTGTACTGAAATAATAACCACATGATTTAAGGTCTTTTTCTATCCTTATTTATCTTGCACATTTTTCATACATACTCTACTGCTGTTGTACTGTGCCATTGCATAACTGAAATCTCCCAATAGTGGGACAAACAAAGCTTCTGTTATTATGCTATCTTGTTCCTTATAAATTGTAACGTAAGGCAGTACATGAGGAGGTGGCTGTAGGGGTAAATGAGAAATGACAGATGGAGGATTTGAGGAAAAAGAGGAGTGAGAATTGATCAACAACAATAGAGCACTGCTTCTCCTGACCCACATTGAGCAGAGCCTGCAGCATCGGAGCGCCATAGCCCCTCCACACCGCACTGAGAGATCCCCCGATCAGCAACACAGCCCTGGCTACGCTGTGCACCAACCCCACCTCAACCATATATTGTGTCTACACTGTAATGACATCACTTCTTTGGAGTACAACCTGGGTGCGCAGTTCAAGTGATTCTAGTAGCAGCAGCAGCAGGCGTTCAAATACTACATAACAAATGCTCTTGAGGTGTCTTTCCCTCATTTGACCTGGACAAACCCACTGACATAACGTAAAATGACCTCATAATCATGCCTTTGCCTTTTTTAAGTAACATGTTATTACACAGAAGCGACTAGAGGACTGTGTTGATGAAGGGAGGGATGAGATTTAGAGGCATGCTACAACCCCCCATGCATTCGCTCACTAGCAATATATTGTCACCTCTGAGACCTATCATGCAGCGGAAGAGACAGGCTACTCTCTGTTCACAGCGATGCTTTTCAACAGCCAATGACAGAGCCAGCCTCACATGTGTTCCTCTTTCATACTCCCACACAAAAAAATGCACAGAAATAGGTCTATGTCTATAGTCAATGTGTATCTCAGACGATGGTGTCATTTAGGTAAGGTATGCAGCCTGTACTATCAGCCCATCATATTGACTCATTTCTATCATTATTAGTAGTCAGCATTGGCAATAACTCTACTGCAGCCATAAAACCTTACCTAAGCAACCAAATTATTACTGGTTAATCCACATAGTCTTGTGGTTATGTTACTATGCAAACACTTTGTACAAACAGTCTACTTCAGGCTGTTGTCATTGCTGTTGTAGCAATCTGCTCCAGTCAAGGATATATTCTAGATACAGTGCACAGCATACGGCTAAATTTAGAAAACAAAAACTTCATTATCAATGTGAGGCACTGAACAGTAGGGGAGGTAGGGTGAAATAGTCATATGCATGCGTACCTTTATTCTACCCTGCATATGAGCGTAGTCTAACCTCAACCCTATGACAAACATCGCAGCTTAACGCACACAGCAAATCAATACAGTACGCGGCTGTTTCTATCACCCCTGAGAGCTGTTTTACTGGCCTTTCCTCAGTACAACATTGGTGCATGTCTCTTTAAGAGGCGGACCAACCGTGTAGCAGACCCAAGCAGACAGTAAGAGCAGGCAGCGGGTTAAAGCTGTTCTTTACAATGACTCTTGAGTTCTGCATCACATATCAATCCCAAAGTGCGGCTGCCAACATGCCTCTGGGCAAAACACCTCATGCAAAAGCTTGAGTGTTGTAGTTGAATTCCTTGCACCTACGTCTCTTCTGAAAGATGCTGTGACTATTGCCTCTGGGGGCTACGGAATGACACCAAGAGAGTGGAGAGAGAGTGTAGTAGCGGGGCAGAAAATACTACTATGCCACAAATCAAGCACAAAAGATAGGACCCCCTCCTCCCCTCCTCCAGTAGCAGAACTAAGAATAGCTCACCAGTCTCTCCACAGCCACTGCTTGTAGAGCATGTCCAAGGATTCTTCTTGCTTCCCGGAGCGTGCATGAGTGCGTAATGTGTATGTGATGAACGTGTCTCCTCTCACTCTCTTCCTGGATCTGCCTCCTCTTTGTGCTGCTGCTTTTCAGTCCAGTCCTCTTCTGGTTGTTGTTGCCAGTGCACCTTAGCCTTCTTGTTGCAGGTTTTCCGCTTTTCTGCAATGGGTATGCAATGGTGAAGGAGGTCCCCCACTTGCTGTAGCTCCAAGTCCTGCGAGAAAGAGAGAGAGAGACTGCTCCAACGTGTGTTATGCAAGGCCACCAGACCGCCAGCTTCTTCTCTGCCTGGCTACTTTGCTTCGCTCTGCCTCTCTCCCTCCCTCCCCTCTCCTTTCTCTCTCTGTACTCCACTGACAGCTCCTCCCCCAGCCAGCCTCATCAGCCGCATCAGGTATTCATTCAAAAAAACACACTCCACTTGGCTCAGTGCCCAGACTACGCTCACACAGAGAAAGAGAGAGAGCAAGAGAGAGAGAGAGGAAAGGAGGGGGAGGGCGCAACAGACGAAGGAGGGAGGGAGGGAGAGCAGCCAATTCTGGAGAGGGTTTGCTCAGAAAGGTTTCGTGTTATGGAAATATGAATATGCATTTACAATGGTATAAGTATTACATACAAAGACAGTCATATCGCATACCATGGATTATAACATAACATCAAAGCTGTTCTAAAGCACATTCATTTTCATAGAGTAGACCACAAGAGGCAAATCTCCTCCTAATCTGCCCATGCAAGCTGCTGGCTGCCCTGCTATTACCAGTACAGCCTCTCAAATAGAGCTGCATATTTGTTACTAACTGCAGTTAACTGGCAAACTAATACAAGCTTTCAATTAATTTCAGAATATGTTTGTAAAGGCTAAACTACAGGTAGAGGAAGATTTTCAATAAAAAGATTTTGATACTTTGTATCTGATGTCATCGGCATTTTCTGGGGGTGTGATGCTCAAGTTAAATTTCAATCCGAGTTTTATTTTAACACAACCTGACCATAAAAAACTAACTTATTTGGAGCTACTTCAAGAGAGCAGGTTTGTGCTGTTGTGCTACTCTTAGTCACTCTCACCTTTATTGAGGAAAAAAATACACTTAAACAGGATCATGAACACTCACACTGATCACAGGTTGTTTAAATCTACTTTGTATTTTTTCTTCAGTTTCTTAAATCTTCCATGCATTTTGTCGCCATGGTAACTTCTGTACATTCTGCCATAGGCATACATGTAGAACCTCCTTTGATTAGACTGTGATATATTTTGCAGCTCTACTCTCAGCTGTAAAGCAGCCATGAGCAAACCTGTCATGCTCAAGATCTTAAGGCCTCACATCGCTCCCTTAGAGATACCTTAATTATTAATGATAAACAACTCCACCCTCACTCTAGGCACTTATCTTAGCACAGCACTTATGACCAAGCAAGTGTCACATTTTTGCTGGCTTGTGTTTCTAGTAAAAAGCTAATTTCATTTGAGAATATATTTTTTTGCCATTGTCATGCTATTCTATTCATTATTCGTGTTTTTTATGGACTATGTTTGTAGTGTTTTTAATTAGTCTTGCACAGTGAGCATATTCTCCAGGTGGGTACTCCTTCTTCCCTTCTCCAGATCAAGTTCTGGAGAATGACCTGTGGTCACTCAATGCTCCTAACAGGTTGGCCCAGGTGTACTGAAGGATGGGTCAAATGCAAACATTATTACGGGGACAATAAAATGGGCTTTACTGTAACCCAACAGGCCTATGGATGTTTTCTCAAATAAGGCTACTTCATACTTCATGGAGTTGTTGTAAGCAGTAGAAATGAAAAATTGAGAGAGAGAAAAAAACAGCAGAATGTCAGTGTCAACACAGAACAAAATGAGGTTTCTCTAACTTGAATGGGCTCACTGTAATATTGAGATCTGTAATAATGCTGCCTCAGTAAGCAATAATAAAATAAAGTGAGGGGAACAACATTCAAACAGAAAACACTGATTGCTGGATATCTCTATATCTCTCTGTCTATTTTAAACATATCTAAATGTATTATCATTTATTTTGTTGGCGACTGAAATTTAACAATAGACTAAAGAATCAAACTGTAATTTTGTATAGCAGGCATAATAGGCCAAATGGCATAATGAACACAAACCCTCTTCTCTTAAGTCTCAACTTATAACAGTGTAACCTAACAATGTAACTGTCTATTCTTCAGCCTACTGACTCTCAAATAAGCAGCAAAATGTTCTGTTTACCTTGTTGCAGAATCCCCTCTGCACGCTGCGGCCATGCGCGTCGTAGTTCAGAAAAACAGAGATATGTCCAGGCATGTTACAAACACATGGTCCATGAACGCATAGGCGGGATCAGGAGTAACACGACGAAGACAGACACTACTAGGTCTACTTGTAATAAATACGAGTATTACTCATAAGAGCACGTGACCTTTTTTGAGTCATAGGCTTGTTGTTAAGTTTCCTGGCTGCATGCTTTGCTACAAACTGATGGGGCTATTGTTTTTTAAAAGCTTTAAGAACTATCTATCTATAATTTAAGTAGCAAAAAAACACACAAACTAAACTAAAAGTGGATCGTTCCTAGTTAACATTAACATTTGAGGCAAGTTCAACTTTGGAGAAAGCAGCAAACTTTCTATGCTGCCATGCGCGTTCACACTCATGTGGAGGTTACAGCGACGTGCGCGCTCTAGACGCTGCGTGGGGAGAATGGGAAAGCGCTTGCTGCCATGGCAACAGGGCAGCTCCACAGTCTCTGGTCCCCATTAAGAAAGATGGTTGGCAACATCATGGGTCTCCAAACTGTGGAGGAGCATCACATTAAAAGAACCCATTGAAAGCCATTGAATCCAGCAGCTAATTAAATTGAGCTAATCTGTCAGACAGGTGAGACAGGCTCCTCTCCTGTTAGGCCTTTGTCTCAATATGATTTACATGCACTCAGCTGCACTGACCACAACAGGCAGCACACAATGGGCACTAACTGATACAAAACCACTGCTTTGTTATTTGTTTTTTATTGTCTCACTATAGGTCAGTATAGTTTTAAAAGCCATTGGTCATAGCCTTGTTAAATAAGCAGCAGCTGACTTGATTTGAAAATGTTATAAGGGCTCTTTGAAGCAGCAATGTTTATTCTCTGAGGAACTGAGCCCATTACATGAAAATGAGAATGCCTCCTTGAAGACATTAAAAAAAGCATGTGGAGGATTATATTTAATGTACAGTTTGAAAAATATAAACTTTTATTTTGAAATGTTTATGTTGTTTACTGTCCATACCAGCTACACCTTTATTGTGACCACAAAATCTAGCAGAGCAAAACAGATTTCAGACGTAGAGCCAATAGCCTGTTCATTGAGCTGTAAATAGCAGACTTCTGCTTACGCACATCACCAGAACAGAGTTTAGGCAACCAAAGGATTGGTGGGAGTGATTTGTGGAGGAGGAATGCAGCCACCAAAGAAAGTACCAGAATACAAGATACGAGAATCAAATGATGATGATGTCACAATTGAATAAAGCACAGGCCTTGACAGAAATGACAGGAAGCCATTAGTTCTAAGCCAAATTGTTCAAATTGTACATATCTAATATTTATAATAAAAGTAACTGAATGGGGTGGCTCAGATCATTTTCAATCAGTGTTGTAATTTATTTTAAAAATGACCTCAGTGACCTCTGCTCAACTACCAACTGCAGTGCAATTTCCACGGGAGACATTGGGGGGCAGTATTTAGGCTTTTTATTTATGTCACTCTAAATATCATAACTTTTGCTGTTATATTTTTGCCATGTTTTCTAGCCTACATAGATAATTATACATTAGGAAATGCAGGATTTCTTGTCATAGCTGGGTTATAGCTTATTTTGCTCAAAAGTCAGCATGCCGTGTCTTCACCAATGGAGTTCTTCATTCAGGCAGTGCCCAGCAGCCTGTAATTACTTGAGAGGAATATCAACAGGCAAAGTCACACTGGGAGGTGAAGGGCAAGCATAGAGCTCTGCACTTATAAGCACTGTCTGCAGCTGATGCTAAGGACTTAATAATTTACACAGATCTTGGTGTTCAGACAGGTTCTGTTCAAACTGTCTATGGAAACGTGTCTTTAATTGTGTTTTTTACTAGGTTCTTGGATTATATTTGCTCCCAGGTCACAGAGGCTATACTCTCTTTCATAAATTACTTGTAACAAGAGCTTTTACTTCTCATAATTATAGTTGCACACATTTAGAATGCAATCTAATATCATGCTCAGTTATAACATTTTGCTGAGGGTTATTTTTAAGTCTGGACATTGGATCAGAGATCAAGCAAAAATGTGACTTGCATTGCTTAATAGATCTTCTAACCATACAGACTAGTATTTCTTGCATTTCTACTTGTTTACAAATTTGGTGACACTCAATATGCAAATAAATAAACCTGCCAAAGTGTCTTATGCGACAATATGTGTAAGTAAACATAATGAAAACCTATTAGTATTTGGCTGAATAAGAGTTAATGTAAAAAATAAATACATAATCAAGTAGAGCAGAAAGATGTGGGTTTTAGTTCATCATCACAACAGTCAAAACTGCATTGGTTCAGTGCTGGAGAGGGGCACACAGCAGCAGAGAGGTCCTGGCTCTATAATCTGAAGCACCATCTGTGATTGTCAGCTGAAACTGCCATTTAGACGACCAGCCTCAGCCACTCAACACTTGCCAGATATTGGACACAGTCAACTGCAGGTGTGAAAACTTCCCAGTCTGATGGACATAGTGAAGTTTTCCAGTAGTGTCACCAAATACCACATAGCTTCCAGACTGAACATAAATGTAAAATTTCAGCAGAAACAATGCAAGCTTTAAATGGCCACTCCTCTACAATACTAATGGTGGCGTAGTAAAATGATAACTAGGTATGACATTTGTGGAGCCGTAAAATAATAACTGTAATTTATAAACTTCCAGGTCTAATGGAATTCCAGTGTCATTCCCTTTAATGCATTTTTTACTGAATTTCACCTGCTCTAGGTACAGTGTTGTTTATCAAAGTATTTCCGTTTTCCTCTGGAGGTGACATACATAATTTATTTAACTATTTTTGCTGTTCTAAATATAAGACTGAACTGTCAAAACACTCAGGTAATATTACCTTGCATTATTTATGTATTCCTACTGTCCAAATTTATGAATTGTGTCTATGAAAATCAAAACATTTGGACCAAATAAGCTGTGATGTTACATTGAACAATATCACTCAATTCTGATATAAGGTATAGACATGTGCTTTGCATACAGGAAAACCACAGCTTACACCATCAATAGTGTCAACTCAAAATATGCCACAATTTACCACTAAACTAAAACCCCTGTAAAGGTCAGACATATCAAATAAATAGTAAAATCTGTAAAAAGTATTAAACTTAATTACTAAAATTATGATAATTTCTTTAATTAATGTTTGGGTGCGAGTGTTCAAATTATGATGGATGTTACATTTAGTTACATACATTCTGGAAGTTGAATACTGATTATAATACCACATCTGAGTAACACAACTTTTTAGTGAAATATTCTGTTTCTATTCTACGGAAATGTAGTACTTTTTAATACAGACAACTTATAATATAGTGAAATTGAATGCAGTTTGAAACACTGATACATTCCTCTGTGTGGTAAATAAATTAATGGGTTTTAATAACACATACTGTACAGAGTGATTTGAAAGAATCATTCATGCATGAATACTGTCCAAGATCAACCAAATCAGAATAAAAAAATGCAAATAACTTTTTCCAAACTTTTAAATAATCCCCTTTTATATAACAAAGTACTGTTTGTAAAGCACTTTTAAATAATAACACTTATTGCCTGCACAGTTGTGTTGCAGAAACATCTTTGGTTAGTGCCGTCATCTTACTCTTGAGCGTTTAACAACAATCGTACCAGCAACCATGTCATAGACAGTCCTGTTGTGCTGGAAGAAGAGTAGCGTTATGAAGGCTGGGAAAAAGAAGGCAATCGAAAAGTTTTTGTTCAAGGCTCGAACAGTTGATCTGAAAAACAAAGCCAAAACGAACAGACTCAGTGGCTGTGCTCAAAACATTCACACCAAAATCTGATTATCTGATTTATGGGCCTTTAAGATGATTTAAAATTACTGCAAAATTTGATGCAATTAAAAACAGATCAGGAAATCTCAAATCTACAAAAGTTGTAAAAATGTGATAATAATGAGATAATGCACTCACGCTGAGAAAGACACATTGGTCGCAGGTACAACAAACACTCTGTTTGGCTGAACCAGGACTGAAGAGTCGCATGTTACGACCCTGAGGCCAACAAGAAACTTCCCTGGAGTGGCTCCACCAGCCCCCCATATGCACACAATCTGAGGAAATAAAACCAACAAGCACAATAAATATGTATATATGTAATTTGTTCAGTTGTCCTCACAGTGGAACTTACCTCATAAAAGCAAACTAATATCCGGTAAACAAGCGCAACCAGCATCATCTTCTGTAGCTCCTCCATGGATGTGTCTTCATCTATTTCTTCTACTATAAAATGCATGGCAAACTTTGACACATCCCTGAAACAGTAATGATAAAATGTTTGAGATCAAATTGTTATTGGCACTGGTAGAGTATAAAGTCTGGTACTCACTTTATTCCACTTAAGTGCATAATACTGATAATAATTGTAGCTTTGATGAAGAACAAGATGAAGAAATCAACCATTTCAGCAAATAGTCTTTGCAAAGGTGAGGGAATACTGTATTCTCGGCCTACAGGGAGAAAAAAAAATCTTGTTTTCAGACAGATGTCATCGATGTACCTCTATCTGAATGCGGTTGTGCTATTATTTGTACCTGGTCTTTGGACGTTTCCCTCCTCCTGCGGCCGCTGCGTAGGCGCTGCAGCCCCGGGAGCAGCCTCACCTGCGCGGCTGGTGGAGGACGGGGCCCCCTGGGTGTAAGGTGAAAGACCTAGACCAGGGCCGCTGTGCCATGTGTGGGTGTTCAGATCCATGTGTGGCATCGACATACTGTTGGGTAAGTGCATGGAGTAAGGATACATGGCTGTAGCGGCGAGCCAGCTCTGCCAGTGGACATATCCGGAATAGTACTGCCACATCCACGCCTGCAGCCTCTCGCAGTATTCCGTCGTGGAGCAGTTGTCGGAGGGATCAGTTTTATTTTCCGCATTGCTTTGGCCGCCTATTCTTCTTAAAACTTCATCTATAAGAGGCTTAACCGTCTTAGAAAAAGGCTCGTCTTTTCCCTTGTCGACACCCATGTTTGTGTTTTCCTTATCCGCCATATTTGATGACGTATTACGTCATCACGGCACAATCACAATTCATTGATCAGATTCATAGATCTACGATCAGATCAGTTTAACGAGATAAATCAAAAACAACTGCAACTTGGGCATGAGGCTGGTGTGCCGAATTTAAGAGTGCGCAATTAAAGGACATCCCACAAAAATTACTTGTAATTTTATGATAAAGCTATGTGACATTTATCCACTAGAGGGAGACAAAGCTACAGCGAAGCCCATTGACAAGATTATCTGCGATTACACCTGTTATCACCAGCAACTCCTGTATTACTGAGATTGTATTTTATTTAGGCAATGAATCATGGAAATTGTAGAGCAAAATCTTGTTTAAGCTTACACAGCTGTTTAACCAGAATAGGCCTAATACTATAATGACACCATGCTGTTATCCCCTCATTAAGTCCTACTGAACCCAATTAAATGCAATTATGTTCACTTGCTTCACCTCCATGTCCAAGACAAAGGCTCTGGCACAAATGGGGTCACTGGCCTAACCCCTCGCAGGGATTTGCCCTAATGCACTCAGCCACCCCTTGTCATAAGGCTGCTACTATACCAGTTAGAACAAAGGGGCTTTGAGCCACCATCTGTAATCTTTAAGTCGTTCCAATTTCCAGACCAATACTTTACCACAATTAAGAAGACGTCCACTCCAAATTATACAGTTATTTTTATTGAAGACAAGTATTGTGAGGCAAGACATCTGGAGCACAATTTATGCCTCCTTCTCATAAGTCCTTACCGCAACAATATTGTCCATGGTGCATTTCTGGAGAAAAGAAAAATAATAAATTAGGCAAACATGCAAATCAAAACTGGGTGCAATGAGACATGCAAAGCAGTAGGTGAATTGCTGCAACAGGTGGAGCGGAGTTTGACAAAGTTAATGTTGAACCCAATTGAACTTACAGCCACTAGTTTTCCATCCTGAATTTCACGTTCAAGAACTGTAGTTTTTCCGTCCCACGTCTGTTTCTGCACGAGCTTGCCGTTCTCAAACGTGAAAATAGTCTACAAAGAAAAAAATGCACATTATTGCATTGCCACTAAGCCAATTGGGTGATCTCAAAACAGGATTAAGAGTCTCAAAACTCGCCTTAGTCTTTCGGTCGTCTGCTGTGGTTTCATCAAACTCTTCATTGAGTTTGAAAGAGATTTCCGCGTTCTTGAAAGTACTCTGCGCCTTCATAGAGATGACCCCATCATTCACACTAAACACAAGGTTAGGCTTGGCCATGTTGCCCATTTGACGAGTTGCAAAGCCCACACCTGCACAATAACATCACACAGACAGTAAATTGTATCTTTTAGCAATCTCCCATAATTTTACATAAAAAACACGTATTACTTACCGATTGCCTTCATATATTCGTCAAAGTTGTCGCTGGAAGTGAGCTTCCAGGTCCCGACAAACTGTTCAACCATGGTGAAGTTTTAGGAGTTTGGAGTACAAAGAAACAAGATGGAATCCTCACTCGGCAGCAGGACGGGACCAGAATGCACCAAAAAGTCCTTATTTGAGGCCATCTTAAACACGTGTTTAATTCTCACCGACCAATCAAGAGCGAGATCACGGAGTTTCAATGGAGATCAGACTATGGGGGGGGGGGGCGTGTCTTTCAATTAGGCCTGCATGGATGTCAGGGATGATGGATGTGTGTGTCAGTGAAGGCGATGGAGCGGAGAACCAGCATGAATAGACTCCGATTCAAATTAGGTATGTGCACTAAATCTGGGGGGAAATTAAAGATAAAATATATTGGTTAGAATGGGTTCAGTTGAATTGCACACAAACAATTGCTCCTTTTGAGTGTTATGTGGAGAAGTTTCACCAGAATGTAGGCTAGCAATAACGAAAGACTTAACTTGGCAATTTTAGACCTGCATAAGTAAGATAAAACATAAAGCTTACACGCACACCATTGCGGCATGACTAGTGATGCTTGTGTGCACCATAAGATGGCGCTATAAAATTACCAATAAGATGAATCCCGTCTTTCGTTCAATTTACTACTACTAAACCAGGGTTAGCTATATATGTGGAACAAGTCAACTTTTTTATTAAACCATATTGTTTAAAAGTGAGTTTGGTGTGATTAAGGATTGCAAATAAAAGTCCAGAATTAGGCCTAGTAGTAAAATAGTCAGTGTCAGTGCGTTTCACCTATTGACCAGTAGGATGACCACCACATTTGCCTGTATTGTAATTTAGGCCTTGATGCAGTTCAACGAGTTTCTGGGGAAATTTGGGGTATAATAAATATAGTTAAGTTTTTGAATCTCCACTCTCAATGTTTCTTATATAATTTGTTGGCAGTGGTAATAATAAGTGTGTTTTAAATTACTACATTTAAATATTAGACATTTATAGCTCAAGTCTTTCTCAGTTGTATATCCTTTATTTTTGAGGTGATAAACCCAGAGATGGCTTACTGATGCATGCATGAGTTATTTTTATTAGGCCTGCATTCAGAATACTCAGTTTAATAAATATGCCTACTAAATTTTAACGATGTAAACTCATTGACCTTTACTCCCAAATAGAGACTTGTACCACTGGACTGTTTTAAGGGCTTTGTTTTGATTTTTCTCACAGAGTTATTGTTTCTTTCTAGGCTCACCTAACTGTTGCTCATCACTGACAAATGGTTAGAGATGGGATAAGATCTTGTGAGGCAAAGGTAAGTGTTGGAGATCTGAGTTATATTTTAAGAAGTCAGAAGAAAAAAACAAACTGCAAGGCAAAAATTGTGAACTTAAGTGCACAAAGTGTTTATTATAAACTAAATAAAAATCTTGCCTAGTAGGAAATGAGTCTCATCCCACGATTATTGCAAATGTTTTGGTAAATCTAAATTAATTTCATTTAATCAAAAATCATCTTGACTTGCTTTAGATACGTGTGTTAGAATATGTTAGAACAAATTAGACATAAACCACTTGAAGTGCCCCTCTACTTGGACACATATTCAAGTTATAGACCTACAGTGAAAGCAGTTGGAGCACATATATCGTGAAATGCCCCTATCCCAACCCAGTAAGCCGATTAGTTGTTGTGTCGCCCGGTGCTGCCCTGCCCACATGCAGATGCCATGGGACAGGCCTCGGAGCCCCTCTAATGAACATGAACTCTCCGTGGCAGCTCCAGAGAAGACTTTTCCTCATGGTTTTCATCAACACTTCAGCCTCCATTGATGGGAGAACAGTGGCCATGCACAAAAGCTGTATATACTGTACAAACACGGGGCCGAGCGGCTGCACACTGACTCATTCTTCGGTGTGTGTGAGAACGGAGGGGGACCTCTTTCAGCTCCTTTGTGCCGGTGTCTGTCAACAGTGTAGTTGGAGGCAGATCCCATTGTAGCGGCCAGTGTTTCGTATTGACACAGGGCCCCGCTCAGCTTGTTCCCAGGGTCCAACCTGAGCACTCATGAATAATGGAGAGAGGATGCTCAGGCCAAGAGGGAGTTTGCTAGTTTTTGGCTCCTTAAAATGTATACTGTTTGTAAACCAGCAGGTAGAAAATGGAGGCTGTTAAGTGAGATCACAGCTGCATCACTTCTGTCTTGTTGAACTTGCCTTGAGATGGTGAAACCACTGTTTATATAGTTTTAGTAATTACTTCAATGTTGTCCAAGTATGAAAGTATAGAGAACATGTTGCAAAAAAATTTAACCTTTTCTTTCTGTTGTCTTTATTTATTAGGTGCCCCCCAGTTTGCAGTTGAATGTTGATTTTATATCAGATGTCCTGCAGGTGCAAGGATCTTCATTTGCCCAAGTTTGGAACTGGCACAAGAGAGTACAGCCCCCATGGCCGAATCAGGTGAATAATGCAACTTCATTCACAAATCCCTCAAAATATAGCAAATCCATATATTGAAAGTTTATAAATACTGATCCACATGACTGACCTATTGACCCTGTTTCAAGTCATTGTGGCTAGTTTCAGTATATGTACACGTCACTTAAAGAAATCTGTTGAAACCAGACCCAAATATTAGAAAATAGACTAGACTAACTATATAAAATAAAATATGCCAAAATATATTCAAAACAAGTAAAATGTAACTAAGTCTGTAGTGGGATCACCCTATGTAGGAGTATTTAATTTAGTTAATTTTTCCTTTTTAAATGTCTGGATAACACCTTAGAGTGAATCATTATGGTCAGAACAGAAAGAATTCAGAGTTAACAGTGCTTCTCAAGTCTTCTCAAGTCACAGGCCTCAAGTCTGAGTCAAGTCCCAAGTCATTGACCTTCAAGTCCAACTCGAGTCCCAAGTCTTAGTCCATTTTATCAAGTTAAGTCTCAAGTCCTAAAAACCTCAAGTCTGATACGAGTTGAAGTCACAACTTGCAAGTCTCCACCTTTGTTGTCTACCCTTTGTATCGTTTATCTTTATTTATCTTACTAAACTGTAACTAAACCTGGACTAAACCAGGACTAGACCAGTACTGACTGACCACTGGAGCACTGGCTCGTGGGAACATCTTCTAGAAGTCATTAATTCCCACTAAACCAGGACTGGAACAGGCCAAGACCATGTGTGCATTAGGACTGAACTCAAGCTAGTAAGAACTCCCCCTTAATTGATAACCACTTATTGTGAACTATATGAAAACACCAGTTCACTCCAACAGGGGGCAACATTAAGATAATCGCTCTGAACAGATTTCAAACATCTGCTGCACGACTCCGCTCACATGCCCTAAGTGTTCTGCCCTCTGATGCTGCGTGGTGGGATGCTCTGGAGGCCCGCTTCTCCTCTCCAGCCTCTGCTCTGTGTGTGTGGCAGGGGTCAGAGAGGTGCCTCCCGCTTGTGTGCGTTGAGCTTTTTCATGCTTCCTGCTTTGATGTTCTCTCTTATCCCTTCATCCCACATGCTCCCTGAGCCCAAGGCGCCTGGTCCACAGCAGCACCCTGATGGCAGTACAAGAGGGGCCCGCACAGAGACATTCATTCATATACAGAGGGTAGAGGTGGAGGCAGTGCCCGTGGGCTACAGCTACAACCAGACGGGGGTGCTATTCTGTATACCGTCCTCCGCGTGGCTTTTATGCTTTCTCTGATCCTGAACAGTGGGCTGGATCTTCTGTGAAAAACAACTGCCTCTGTGCTTTGAGTGTGGCCTCTCTCTCGACCCCTTACAACATGGGAAAGTGCCCCTCTCAGCTGGTAGTTATATAAAGCTCTCCAAAGTCATGAGAATCCCCAATAATCATTTGACTTAAGGCTCTCAAAGTCTTTATCCATGTATTGTCTATGGGCCATAATAATCATGTGTACTTGATTATTTACGTGTACATTTGTTATAGAGACAATTAGAAGTGTCTGACAGTTATGCTCTTTTAGTCTTTAAGTGAAAATATGTAAGAAAACATGTATTTGTGAAGTCCTAATCTCTAACGCACTCTCTAACCATATTACACTGCACCAGCTGAGCCCAGGCAGGACAGCAGTGACAGAGGCACATGAATATGATGAACAGATGAATATTAGAAGCACTTTACACATGTGCTGCATTTTACACCATAGCAGCAGATTCAACCATCTGATCACTTTAATATTTAATGACAGAAACTAATGGACAAGGCCACAAGGACTGTATCTGAGCCATACTGTCCCAATTATTAAAGGAGCTTGGTAGCATTTCTGAAAGGGGACTCTCATATGTCTGTCTCCATAAAGAAAGATATGTTTATGCCATACTCTGGAACATTCTTGGCCAAGGCATAACATCTCTATGTAGACTAGCAGACTCTGCACCAGAAAAGTTACACCTGCACCTTTAATGAAACATACTTACTTTACATGTGTACATAATATAATATGTACATTCTCTCTCTACCAGTCGCTCTGACTGACTGTGTTTGTGAAGTAGTTGTATGGGGCAGTATAAAGGGCCAGTGCTAAGCGGCCTCTGCAGATCACTGGCAGTTTGACTGCACTGGAGAGTAATGGGGCTGGCAGGGCGGAATCAATTACTGGCCACAACAGATTTTCCCACAGGTCGGAGCTTGGGAACGCAGTACTTTACTTTAGCGCAGACAGCTGGCACAGAGCAGCCCCTGAGTGAAGCTGGGAGAGCTCAAAGTTTTTGATAAACTTGTAAAACATCGTCCAACAGTCTGGCTGAAAATATCACTGTGTGCTGCATTATCTTTCCTACAATGGGAGCAGGTGCACAGAGACATTGCTGAACTATTTCATATGTATTTGTATTCAACTGTCAGTGAAATTGGATGAATTATTAGAAAAAGAAGCCATATAATTTGCCACTTGGATATACAAACTATGTGGTTTCCTGTAGCAACACAATGTGTGGCATTGCCAGTGCCTCTCGCTGTGGTCCTTGTGGACATTACGTTCTCCAGTCTCCTGTGGAGCTATTTAGGAGCTGGTCTTGTGATCTGCCTTCCTTCCATTGTGGCAAAACACAAGTTAGCTGGTAATGGGCTGTGTGATGGTAAACCAGCTGAACAATACTATTGTTTGTGCTGTGGGTAAAAAGAGCTCGCCTTGTTGTTGCACTGTTGTGTTTACTTTAAGCGGCGCAGGTCATTGTCATCGTTTTTGTGCAGTTTGCTCCATCAAAGTCTTTCATCATCCACAATCAAGACCCGTAAATACTACCCCGTGCAAAGAGCTTTGGCCCAAAGATTTGCTGTTCTTTATCAGTTTCCAGAATGAAACAGGGAAGTAAACATATCCTCCTGGCTTTACCTATCCAAAAGCTCACATGAATGCCAACAAAGACAGGAAAGTACTGAATGAGCGGGTGTATTATGGTCAGACAGTGTGAATGAGACACTGGTCTGGTCCCTACCCAATATAGCGCCTGGGTGCTGACTGAGGCTGCAAGGAACAAGCAGGAAGCTGTGGCCCATAGGATAACATTGTTGTATGGAAGCCGCCAGGGAGACATTTCCTTACAGCTATTTGAGACCAAGCTTAATGGGTGGCCCTCTTTCTTGCATAATGTCTCATTTTGGTGTTGTGTTTGTGCAAAATTTTTTTTAAGAATGCTTGAAGTGGACGTCATATTGAATGCACTTCTATTGCTTTACTCCAGTGCGCTCATAGATGGTAAAACATATCAGCATGGGGTGCACACAGGATGCAGGAGCGGCTGTGAGCGTTGCTACTGCAGACAGCCCCAACGGTTGACATAGTAAATCAATCCTGATGGGAGGGGGTCAGCACAGAGGAGGTGGAGGATGAGGAGGGGGTCTGGGAGGGTGAGGAGGGGCTCTGGGCGGGTGAGGAGGGGTCTAGTGGGCTCTAGTGGGACTGTCAGACACACTCATGTACTCAGGCGGCCGCGGAGAGACGGTGCACGGGCGGGAGAACACTGGACGGGCAGCGCTCACACGGAGATTGAGTTACCACAGAATTAGATCGAGGCTGTGGGAAACGGCACCTCCGACACACTCTGCACCGTGCACACGCACGCACGCACACACACACACGCACACAGCCCTATGCACACTCCACCGAGAACACAAAGAGTCACCAGGGGAAACCTCAGGGAAGATTGAGGAAGGCAGCTGGGCACACGCCAGGTTCAAACAAATACTTGCTTATACCTCTCAGCTTTCTGCACTACAGACTGGTGCCGGGTGAGCCTCCTGGTCAACAAGCACTCTACAACAACTGAATTCAATGGGAAGAGGATTAAGTGAAGAATCTTTGTGGAAAAATAGTGCCATGGAATTTTGTGTAAAAAGAAACCATACAAAAAATGTGAATGTTTTCATTTTTGACTATAACATTAGATTTAAGGCGCACAGACTGTGGGTGGTTTAAATTTCGTTTTATCCTGTCATCATTACATTCTTGTTTCAGGCACTGCATCTTGCTTATGGGAATGTGGTGTATGAGTGTGTTGATTTAAGGAGCCATTGGCACAGATCGGCAGCCGTATTTCTTGCAGTCAGTCCCAGGGCAGCTGCACACCCAGGACAATAGTTTGAGAGCCACAGTATTAATGCATATTGCACTGCATACCTCAGTCTTCTTGCATTCAAGGTGCACTGTGTAACTTTTCTGGGGATATTTGTTTCTATTACACTCATCTATCTCGGATGTATGCATTTCAGGGAAAATACTAATACAATAGAAACAATAGAAAATTCTAAAATTCACAAAATAAAAAAAGCATACATTCTTACAGGTCACCTGTAACATGGCCTGGTGGTATCACCTGCATTTCCTCTTGGAGATGGGTACATATAATATAAAATGCATTCCAGGCTAATAAATAACACCTCCGTGAAGACAAAGAGATGGTGGACCACCCACCAAAAAGTCACATAAAAATTTGACTTTCATATATATATTATATATATATATATATGAAATTTCCAAATAACTTGAGTGACACATTATCACTTTAATTCAGTGATCATTATCTCAAACTTTCTCACTTATACCAGCCTGTCCAGCCTGAGTACACGTACTGAAGTACCCGTATACTTTTTTTTGATTATGAACAGCCTGTGTCTCATCACTGGGTCTTTGGAACTGTGGAAAGGCTAGAATGTGTGGCGGAAATGCATGAAATCGCTAAAGATGGTCGTGATTTTGAGTGAGAGCGTGTGTTGACAGGGCCAAAGGGAGGTTATGTATGTGTCAGGGATGGTGTCAAAGTTCATAGTGCCTGTATTCACTCCACTCTGGACTGGGGCTTGCATGTTGTATCTGTCACCAGTGCTACTTTGACATTCTGGGAACAGCGTTTTGGCCCGCAGTTGCTCTCTCTCCCAGCGCACCACATTAACAGCTGACCTCAGGGACAGAGGACACAGACAGCTGCGCACAGACTGGGCACAGTAATGGGCAACACTCTCACTGACAGCCTAAGCAGACACGCAACAGGAAGTAACAAGAGGGGTCCCGTTCCCAAGTGGTTTGTGCCAGAAAATAAGAGACCCTCTTCTAAAACTGTATCAATTCATAAGGGAAATTATTGGTCACAGTTGCTCAGATGTACCATAATTATAATATTAATACTAGTTGAAGGCAAAGAGAATGATAATATATGAAATAGACTTGATGAACAGAGATGAATGGATTCTAATATACAAGGTTTATGGTTATATACCCTGAATCAGTATGCATTACATTGTTTATATTTTCAAACGACATATAATCCACATGCAGGTAGTTTTCATATTAATTTCACATATGTCCACCAACGTGAGTTTGCTCTGCTATGATTATTATGAAATTGTAAACAGGAAAATTGTTTTCTGTACCTATTGTGAATATTTGTGCTTTGTGGGACATAAAATAGTTTAGCATCTGTTGTATCTTCATTGCAAAAATACCAGTAATATAATTAAATAGAGTAAATAAACACAATGATTGACTCCTTGAGAGTGTAATCTAGGTCACTTTCTCTTGTCCATGTTTTTTAGGTTATTCAATTGTTGTTGTAAGTAAAATATTTCTGCTCTTCTCTCCATCTCCCCAGGATGAATGGATCCATGGGAAGTGGCCTCGGTGCCAGTCAGTTGACCGGTTTGTGTCGTGTAAAAAGGGGGTTTCCAAGGAGCGCCTGGCAACTCTGAGCGCTGCGTGTTGGGCCTCCCGGCTGATCCGTGCTGTTGTGGAGCCTCACAGCTGACAGCCACAATGACAACACACTCTGCTAATAGGCCATGTGTCCCTGAGAGCTGAGCACCAGGGGAGAGCCAGAGCCACAATGGGACCTGCTGCACATGAACTGGGCTCACAGCGGGATACAGGGAGAGAGGCCCGAGGGTGCACCAGTCAGACGCAAACCAGAAGAAGTTATATATACTTCAGACAGCGTGTGCACTGATACTGCTATTGATACTTTGCAGTGACATCTCACTGGGGGGGTCTACATGTATGTCCATGGTGGAATGTTCATCAGCTACCATGGTGACACATTGCACACAGCAAATACTGCCTGATACGGTTTTAAGATGGTCTGAAAAAATACTAAATTAAGTTATACATTTTGGTGAGCCTCTGGTCAATACAAGCATTCATGGTCAATTTTTCCAGGGAAAAATGAGGCTGCCAATCTGTGCCATCATCCCCACCAACCATCACCAATCACACACACACACCACATTCATACAAAGGGAAGGTGGGGAAAAGTGTCTTGCCAAAGGACACAACAACAATATGCACTGATCCATGTGGAGATCAAGTTGCCAACTCTTGCTTCTGAGATCAAACAAAATCAGGCTTTCTCAATGTGACTATTTATATGTTTAAGTAGGCCTACATAATTCATTCAAAATACACAAAAATACATAACTTGTGTTTACCTTTCCCCACTTTTTTATATCTTGTGAGTGATTATTGTACAGTTTACGAACTTGGTCAAAAAATAAAGGTCTAAAGTTAATGATTGCTGTGTGTCTTTGCAATACTTCTAGTAATACTTACTATTGCTACCACTGCAACTTTTTTGTACTAGTATAGCTGACTACTTTGACACTGGCACAACTCATTTTGCTACTGAGAGATTATACACATATGTATTCACTAGGCTATTAGCAACTTGAGTTAGGTTATAGTAAGAGAGACGCACACATTTTTCATATTCCCATTTCCTTTTTTTTTTTTTCTTCATTTACAGAGAGACATTATCCGCTCTCTCTCTCTCTTTCTCTTTTGCCAACTTTAAAACAGACGTCACCCTTTTGCCACCTTGATTTCAGCAGGTCTAAACCCCCCGGGAGCCCCGCCCCCGTCACGCCCCCTCGCGCACGGAGGAGTGAAGTGAAACAAGTCTCGGTTTAAACTGATGCTCTGAGACCCTCCGCTCTCACTGCGCCCCGGGACGCACGCACTTCTCCAAGACGCTCTTTTGCGCGGGTTTGGAAAGCGACATGAAGCGAAGCCACAATTACAGCTCCTCGGACAGCGACCTTGATGATAATGTGGAGGTGGAGAAGGACAGCAGCGATGAGATTTGGTTGGTACTTTTTTATTAGAGTATACTTTTTATATACATTTTGTACGTTTTTGCGTGCGTGCGTTTTTAGATTCGTTTATTTTTGTGTGATTGAAATACAATACTAAGCTACTTGCATTTTCTCTTACGACTCTATAGTCACTTGGATTCGCATGACTCGGTGTCACCAACCACCACCACGCAGGTTCAAGCCAGAAAAAGACGCAGAGGGGTAAGGCAGTCTATCTTTGTCTCTAAAGTTTCCATCTGCTGTAGTTGTGTTAATTATATGGTAAAATTAAGGGGCGTCTTTTTCATTTCAGATTATTGAGAAAAGGCGACGTGACCGAATCAATAACAGCCTGTCAGAACTGAGAAGACTGGTGCCAAGTGCCTTTGAGAAACAGGTAAATGTAACATGCCCTAATGTACAGTATAGAAGCTGTACAAGTGTCAACAAAAGGTGAATAAAACTGGGGTCCTTTATTTTAGGGGTCGGCTAAACTGGAAAAAGCTGAAATCCTGCAGATGACTGTGGACCATCTGAAGATGCTTCATGCTTCTGGTGGGAAAGGTAACTACCGATGTATTAACTGAATAATATGAGAAAATACAGTCACTGTTTGTCACTAAGGACTGTTTCTATGGCAGGTTACTTTGAGGCGTACGCTCTGGCTAAAGACTACCACAGTCTGGGCTTCAGGGAGTGCTTGGCAGAGACAGCCCGTTACCTGAGCATCATGGAGGGACGGGACAGCGCAGACCCTCTGAGATTACGACTGGTGTCCCACCTCAGTAACTACGCCTCACAGAGAGAGGTGCACTCTGGATTGGAACACTTGGCCTGGGGCCCTTATGGCTCGGCCCATTCACACCAGCTCCTGCTGCAGGGCAGGACTCTGGCCCCCAGGAGCAGCAGCAGCTCACCTTCGTCCTCTTCATCCTCACCCTCTTCGTCCTCTGAGGCGTCCCCAGTGTCCAGCCTGACTGTCCTGTCCCACACAGACTCTCTGAGGGTGCCTCCTAATGGAGCCCTGCCGCTCGCCCTCACTGTCCCAGGGTCTAAGCTCTCTCCTCCTCTGCTGTCGTCGCTGTCCTCCCTCACGTTCCCTCTGTCCATTGGGGCTCTACCTCTGGTGGCCCCTGCCGCTCTGAGCTCCAGCTCTACTCTGTCTAAGCCGTACCGGCCGTGGGGCACAGAGATCGGAGCCTTCTGAAGTGATCCAAGAACTGAAAGCAGCCAGCCGGGCCATAACCACACACAAGAAAACACAGGATTTATGAACTGCTCTTTTGTGAAGTGTGAATGGCTGTTAAACGATAAAAGTGTATTTTATTTTTGTTGTGACAGAATGAAGTGAACATGCCTTTATTGTAATGAATGAAACATGATTTATGGCCCATGAATAAGTAGAAGTGCTGCTCAGATTTGTATAGATTAAGTAGATTTGCCTTCTACATTTGTCAAGAACTTGTTTCGGTGAACCTGTAGTTTGAGAGAAATACCCCACAGAATGAACGAGATCCTGCTGATAGGGTGATATTAATAATTCAAATGTATTTTTGTACCAATAAACACAAAAGTGCTCAATGTAAATATGGAATACTGTGTGTGTGTTTACTCTTATGACCAGTCTCATGATGGTGTTCTCTGATAGGACTTCATATTCACATGGAGGCTGAACAAAGGGTAATAAGAACCTGTCGAAATCTACAATTTATGGGCTCCAATGCCACCCCCTGACGATGTGCCAGGTAGGTAACTAAATCGGACTACATTGTTGCCCTTTTGAATACCCAGGAAATCATTAAGAGCTAGAGGAAATCCTTTACAATGTTGGCCTGACCTCACCAGATTGGGTTGTTCTGAAATAAAGACAATAGTGTGAACAGGATGGGGACACTGAACTAAAAGGTAAAGGACAACAATATACCCTCAGCTTAATGTGTGGCAATCATTTGTCATTTAATGTTATCCCAATACTATCATACAAGAAGGACAATAGATGAGGTTTTTTTTTAAATTAATGAATCTTGCTTGTGGTCAATGTTATGAATGTGAAGTGTCGTGTAGGCCATTCAGCAACGTATTATTATTTATTTAACAAACACTGCCATCTGCTGGACAAATAGGGTAGCCTGGATTATTTGTTATTATCAGTGTGACCCACATTCATTGATCACAATAGATGAATGAAATTCAGGAGCCCTTGCTTTTCAAGATGTTTATATAACTTGTCATTTTATTAGCTGTTACATTTTCCCTTTAAGCACAGAAAATAACCCAAATTTGCATGCCAGATTTACAGAACCGATTGCTTTTTTTCATCAAAGCTTTAACAGAGCGAGTTTATGAAGGGGGAAATACAAGCAGCAGTGTGTTCATACCAGTGAATTTAAAAAGAGACTAGTTCAGAGTGCCTCTGTCCCTTTGTAAGCCCCTGACTGGAGCAGACACAAATACAGGTGCGCCATGGATAATTCACATTCAGAAAGCCAGACCAGACATAATTATTTTCACTAATACCGATACCAAGGTTGGAGCAAAAAGCACATTCCATTGTCCAAGACTATTCAGAGAACTTTAGTGTGGCATAACAATCCGTCAATGAGCTCTCAAATACTGTGTAGCCTATTTTACAAAATTATTGAGCAAAATGACAAGGACGGTGAAAAAAAACAGGTGTACAAAGAGCTGCTCCAGTTGGGCAGAAACATTCTTGATTCTAATAAAGCACCTCAAGGTCTATCTATAGAGAAAGTGGACACGTTTAAATGTGTGTTTGGCATTTTCGTTTCCATGTAAGTGTGGGATATGGATGAAAACAGTGAGAAAAGTCTGTTATCTACAATTCACCAACCATCGTTCTTCACAAAAGACACAAACACATGATCATACATAATCGTGACATAACACACTCAGTCTAGAACCAACTCACCCATCAAAGGCCTTTCAATAAATTAAATAAATATCCACAAAGTAAAAAATACTGTGTTGTACATTTAATGCACTTCACTCAGATATGAATAAATCAGTCAAGATAAATACTCAATAATACTCTCTACTCTAATCAGTTGAATTTATTGTTACTGTAGTTGTATCCATAAATAAGACTGCAAGTGTCTGTACTAGTGATGCTGTGTGGAGGAGGTGATGTTCAGGACTCAGGGAGATGGAGTTTCACTGTAGAAGCACTGGGCTCATGCTGTCAGCTCCTCCCGAATCTCTTTGTTCCTGCGCACCTCCGCGGCGTGTCTTTCCTGCACAAAACAAGATTAAACAATGTCAGAGTGTGAATCTAGGTCTGTAACTAGCAATTATTTTAGTAATTTTTTATTAGCCGATTAGCTGATGAATACATTATCAACCAAATTAGGTATACAATATGATGACTGAAGGCTTTTAGATAGAGAATCTGTATAGTCCAGATAACAATTACCATTATTAAAATACTCATTAAAATACTTTTTTTTCACATTGAGTCAATTAATCTTTGCAGCCCTACGTGAATATTATGATTGTATTGTCTTTATTATCTATCCATGTCCATATGCAGCACTTTGTCTTTACCTTCTCCTGTAAACGCTCCATCATGGCGGCCAGGTGGGCTTCGCGGTTCTCCCTGATCTGGTCCATCTTCATCATGAGTTTCTCCTCGGCCATCCGGCTGAAGTTACTGTTTTCCTCCATGGCCTTGAGCAGCACGTCCCGCTCGTGCTCCCTCTTCTCAGCCAACATCCTCAGCACTTGGGCCTCCTGGGACTGAAAGACAAGGCAAACAATGATCCTATTCATGGGTTTAAGAAAGATTCAAATTTAGGTCCATTGCAATAAGCAAATTAAAACAAAATATTATATCTTTTGAATTGTGAAAAGTCCTCGTGATATCACCTATAACAGAAAGTCCATAAATATGTGTGTATAAAAGGACTCTGGACCAGAGGAAGGATGCAAACTGTGTAACATCATGAAAGACCTATTTCATGACACTGTTGCAATCTGACAACAGCAGAGCTCAGACTTTCTGAAGTAAATGCTCTGTCCATGGAGCTTATCAGATGGCAGGACATGTGGTTCTGCAAGTAAAAATAATATTTTTACCTTTGCTTTTTCAACATAGACATACTGTCTAAAGATACTCAACCAATAAAATGTTTAAGTATGTTTGGCAGTTTCTTTTTTGCAGTTTCAAAGTTTTAACTAATGAAATAAAATTTTGTTACATGTTTTAAGAAGTCACTAATCATTAAGTTAATAGTTTATTAGTCAAAAAGCTTTCAGGCTTGTAATATTGTATTCAGAAATGTATTTAGTATAGTTTAAAGTCTATGGGGGAAAGATTAAAAAATGTAACAACTGCAACAACAATAAATTACATTATGTTCTATTAAGGTTGAGGTTAAGGTTGAAAATATTGTCCCTGTGGAAAAATCTATTTTTAGCATTTGACCCATCCTTCAATGTCAGGAGCAGTGGGCCACTGCAGTGCAGTTTCTGTGCTTTAATTCAAAATGGTGAAGACTCCCTCGAAACACTTATGCATTTTAACAGGAAGTTGGAGCCATTAAAATACAGTCCCTGACACATTTATAACTCTGCAAATTCCTTATTACCACTGCAGAGTCCTTATAACCAAAATAAAAATTAAAATTCAAGATTTTTATAAAGGGCTATCTTGGCTCTTTTCTCACACCTGCCTGAAACTTTTGCACAGTTTTGTACTTTGTTAACTTGTACTATTTGGAGCATCTCACCTTCCTCCGCTCTTCTGCTGCCTCCAGTTTCTTCTCGATGTCCTCCAGTGAGATGTCCCTCTTGGGTGGAGAGGGCAGACCTGGGGACACCTCTGACACCGGAGATAAAGGCTTAAGAATCACCTCAAAAGCCTGTCCAGATGCTCGCTTGTCTATTGGTTTCACCTCCATGTCTGTAAATGACACAGTGACAACACCCCGAAAATCAATCTCCAATCAATTAAATCAATTAATGTATTAGGAAAAAAGGGAATAGGCAAACACAATGGATCAATATACCTTCAAATTCGCAAATGAGGTTTTTGCGAGATTCAGGGTAAAAACAGGAGCAGATGAGGGAGAAGACGGACAACTCCTTCATCTTTTCTTTGTAGGCTGTAGGTAAATAACACAACATCACATAGATGAGCCTTTGAAACTGTGACACATGGACTGATTAATAAGTCTCTGCGCTCACAAAAATCTCTGCGTTTATGTCAAGGAAATTAAGTCAATATACCAGTTAACATCAGTCATCTGTCAATATTCTTTCGCAACCAAAGGAAACAGCATTGTTGAATAATTAATATGGTGAACAAAACAGATTTCATCAAGCAAAAAGAGCTTACATCTCTAGAACGTCTGAGAAATTGTTGTTTCTGGCAAAAATTATTATTCCTCATTCATGCTACGAGGGTGGGTGGGGTATTCTAGAAACTTGCCCGAAGTACTTTTCAAACAGTGCACAAGACTGATCTGTTTTGAACCAAAGAATATGATCCAACATCATCATTTTTATTTGGGTTATAGTTTTCAGGTATTTAGCTTTTGGCATGTTTCCTCACTGTGCATATGCTAATAAATATTTTGAGTTCGCAGCACTAGTGTTGCAGAAAGCCCCTTGCAGTGATGGCTTGCCCTCCCACATTGCCATGCACCTGTTTCCTTTGCATTTTACCATTCAGAGCTACATTTAATCTAAAAGACAGGTTCTTTTATATGCCACTTATTATAAGGAATGATATGAATGGAATGCAAACTGAACCACTAACCACAATGAGACAGGAGGCTCGTCCCAAGGCCTAAAATAGCCTATTGTAAATCACGAAAGACTGTCTATCAACAAAAGATGAATTCATATTTAATAACATCCAGGTTTGTGTGAAATGTGTTTAGGTTATTGTAGTTTTTTGTAGAGGGATGACTGATAAAACGCCCCTCGCTTGTATGAGGGCTAAACGCTCGCATCCTCGCGTCTTGGGTGGGGTCCGTCTGCATTATGCTGCATGTCAGACCGCTGTAGCATCAACTGCAGGTGTAAATAAAGAAGCCTCTAGCAAAAATAACAATGTACCCGAACTAAACAATGGTATAATATGAAATGATATAATAGATTATCCAAATTATTCAACTGAGGAAAGAGAAGAAATCCCAAAGCAAACACACATGGGTTGTTAACACACTGGCTAATTACATAGACTGAGACTACATTCCAAAACGCACAGAGACGCACCAAAAACGCAATTTCAAATGACTAAACGTGATGACAGAAAATTTAACTCCATATATATTAGAATAATGTTACACTTTTGGAAAAGGCGTACCACATACATCAGGCCGAAAAGGTGAAATAATAACCTATGCTCATGTGCGCAATGCTACGCCTACGCATTGGTTAGGAAGAGGATTGAAATAATGAAGGCTTACCTGCTGCTGTTTTGGCCATGCTGGATGGTATTTCACCGCAGAGGATTGTGGAGCTGTATTCAGGTGAACAGGGATGTTGCTTAAGGCACTGAGTCAGCGAACACAGCAAGTCCAGATCGGATGGATGGTAGGAGGCAAGAGCGCGTGCACACGGACACTCCTCTTACGCGCAGACGCAGTTCAGCTCTATGCGACCAGCAGTGGGCCAGTGTGCTGCGATATCCTCATCCCACTGTTAGATTATTTCTGGGAACAGGCTGCAGAATTTCAATAAATCAGCACCATTACTTCGGGACCGGTCACCGGGCACATTAGCGTCATCAGTGACTCATGGAGATGAAGCTGTAACTGTACTAACTCTACAGTAAATCGGCCTAATATAAAAAATAACATTTGAAACTCTATCGTCTGAAGTCAGTTGCAAAGAGACAGTAGCTATTTATATGCCAAAATCAGATTTTGTTACTGGGTTAACTGATTAATCTAGTTATCTGGTCATGTAAATGTATCGTTTATTTGAAGTATAGAGGCCTACAGTGTTTATAGTCAAGCATAGATATTGAACGTTCAATATTTATGATAGTCAAGCACCAGGCTTGGACTGTGCTGGTATGCAAATATATCATAATGGAAAGATACGTTAAACATATAAATTAATGTTCATACTGTGTCATAGCATCACAGAATATGTTCATGGAAATAAAAGTGACATGAGACTAACGTTTACAATATTTTATTTATATGTATTTATTAAATCATATGTGATATAGATAAACATACCTTTCTATTTAAATAGGTAAATTTATGTAACAACCTGAGAGTTAAATACATGAAACATGTGTGTATATATATATATATATATATATATATATATATATATATATATATATATATATATATATATATATATATATATATATATATATACAAATTTTGTGGAGCAATATTTAAGAACATCATATTCATGTTATGCAGTGATAGGATTAAGACCACAGAGTGAAAGGAAAGGCAGATTAACAAAATATTTAAAAATAAAACCGTGATCTATAATATCTTTAAATGCACTATTTGCACTTTGGTGTTAACTGTCTTTCTTGTGGGTAAGGTGCTTCTTGATGTAGTGACCGACCAGGATTTGCGGCCGCTGTTGGTAACTGCTGAGGACGTCATGAGAACTTGTAAGCTGATCTCCTTTAAGGCGGTCTAGTAACGTGACACACACCACAGCCGCTAGACAAACATAAATACATAAACATAAGATAACATTGTAATAACATTCAATGCTATGTTGGACTTGAACAGTTTCTTACCACGCAGGCCACTCATCTTGCACATAGCCGCAAACACAGAAGACTCCATTTCTATGTTGCAGACTCCAGCTTCTTGAGCGTTACGAAGATATTCTTGTTTATCTTCCTCAGTGTATGAGCAGAAAGCACCATCCAGACGGGCTTGACCTGAGTACATAATATAATCTGTAAATAACAGTATTTTAGCTTCTCATCTAGGATCATCCTGAGTGGATTTACCTTCATAGAAGTCCATGGTACACATGGTGTTTCCCATCTGTGTGTTAAACTGGTTTATCTCTTTACTACACTCCAGTAACTCCTGGGCCAGCTCTGAGTCCAGATCTGTGTTACGCATGACAGTCTTACCAAGTATCACCTGCTCAAACTTTGGTAGAAAATTGGCATCAACCGACTGTTTGGTGACAACAACAGAGCCGGGTTCAAGTCCTAACAACAGAGAAAAAAGAACAAATGTAGAATGGCAGAAGTTGTATTTATGGTTATAATGTGTTTATAAATGTACCTACCTATCCCACCAGAGGTCCCAATGCGGAAAATCGTAACATCAGTACAGTGGGCGTGGTGAAGTAGCTTTATTAGCTCATGTAACATTATGGAGATGGAGGGAATCCCCATGCCATGCTAGAAAATAAACAGGTTACCCCTTTTGATGTGTGTTGTAAACATATATATAACTGATAACAACTAATACATTAAATTAAATAACCTACACCTAATGTAACTGCTGCTACTATAATATCAAATCACCAATAGATTACAACACCATTATGAAGTGTTCATACCCTCCCCCACACACACACCTATCATGTGTCTATGACTGTTTAAGGGTATTTTGTGTCAAGCTAAAGAAAAAAAAGGGTTAAAAAAAAGGTATATTACTGATAATATTTGTAAATTATTAACTTACACTAACTGAAAGTACAGGTCCAATCTTGTACATAGCATAGCGGTCCGTTCCAGCACAGATATTTGGATATTCCGCTTTTGGGTCCTCCATCCCTAGTATACTGGCAATGTATTCGATGAAAGATTTCATTCTCCATGGGCTGCCACCGACACAAACAAACTGAAATGTACACAAGACGTTAATGATGATAATAATATAATGTAAATGAGACAAAAAACATAAGGCAAAATCGTAGTGCTTCTTACTTTTACATCACTGAACATAGCAGGGAGATCATGGGTTTCTGTTCCAAGACTGAAGTGATAGAGAACATCATCTTTCATTCCATCCAGGTGAGGATTATGCACAAGTATAGGCCTATGTGAAAAGACAAAAGCGTTTACAAGTTAACCCCTGGACATAATAACATTGTAAAGCACCTGTCACTGGGTTTATATTGTTTTACTATGTTACAAAATGTATTATTTTATTACAATGGTGTGTGGAAATAAAACTGTATGTTGAAGAGTAAGCTCAGGGCTGTATATACAAAAGTTTTACAAAACTCTATCGTATTGGGTGTAGGGCAGTCACGTCTAATTCTAGTCTAATTTAGTCGTTTTATTGGACTTTAACAACGATTCAGTGTTCATATAACAAAGTCAACAAAAATGACATAAGACTGGCAGCTGTTTTCTAAATCATGAATACGATGTTAATTAAATAAATCCTATAAAAAGATTGAATCGATAGAAATCAAAGAAAATGTTGGTAACTACGTGACCGGAAATCCTTACGTAGTGCATGACGCTGGTCGCTGTCCGCTTCTTCCACTCATCTTCTTGAAAATATTCAACAGATTAATCAGACAAATTTTTATCTTTAGAGATAAAATAAAATCAATCAATAACAGTTTGTCGACGGTAGAAAGAACGGGCTATCCTGTCTAAATAAACGAGGAAATGGATAGATGGCTATTTTCCCCAAATTGTCTGGCTCAGACACGGCAGGTTGGCTTTACGCACCTACAGCCTAAAACAAAACACAGTACACTGACTAAGGTAGATAAAACAAGATGTCTCTGCGAAGAATGACCTCTATAGCCTTCGCTACTGAAATTAATTTCGCTTAGTAGGCACGTAGCCCCTCCCACCAATGCGACGTCAGGGATGGGGGCCCTGACGCAGCATGCGGCTCCCTGTGATCCCACCTTTCACCCGCCTCCTCCCAGCTGATACACGCCCTTTATGAAATACCCTGAACACTGTGCTCTGGTGATAGTATCTGTTAGTATTAAAATATGAACAAAATATTTGAACATTTCCTAATCCCGTTTTACTTGTATTTGATTTCTACAGTGGAGGAAATAATTATTTGATCCCTTGCTGTTTTTGTAAGTTTATGTACTGACAAGAAATGAACAGTCTGTCATTTTAATGGTAGGTTTATTTTAACAGTGACTGTTGACGCGCTGAAGTTGTCCTGTGCCCGTCCCCCCTCTCCCCCAAACTATCCCCAAAGCACAATGGTAGGGATGATATTCTTGGGGTCATAGGCAGCATTTCTCTTCCTCCAGTCATGGCGAGGTTGAGTTAATGACAAAGCGCAGGATTTTGGTCTCATCTGACCACAGAACCTCTCTCACTCCCTTTCTAAATCATTCAGTGGAGTTCATTGGCAAACTTCAGGCGTGTCTGCACATGTGTTTTCTGAATCCATTGCGTCTTAAAGTCTTACTAATGGTTTACTAATAGTGATTGTGATCCCAACTGCCTTGAGATCATTGACTGGCTCCTCCCGTGTAGTTCTAGGCTGATTTCTCACTGTTCTCGTGGTCATTGAAACCCCACGAGGTGAGATCTTGTGTGGAGCCCCAGACCGAGGTTTACTGATGGTCATTTTATATTTATTCAGTTTTCGAGTACCTAGTTGCATCAACAGTTGTCTTCTTAACACCAGCTTCTTGCTTATCGTTTTGTAGCCCATTCCAGCTTTGTGCAGGTCTACAATCTTGTCCCTGACATCCTTTGACAGCTCTTCGGTCTTTCCCATGTTGCAGAGTTTGGAGTCTGATTGACTGACTGATTCTGTGGGCAGGTGTCTTTTATAGAGGGGTCTAATTCAGGTGATGAGTTGATCAGGAGTGTCTAACTGGTCTGTGTGAGCCAGAACTCTCAATAGTTGGTAGGGGATCAAATACTTATTTCACACAATGAAATGAAAATCAATTCATATATTTTCTATAATGTGATTTTTTAGAATTTCTTTTTGATATTCTCTCTCAATGTTAAAACCTACCATTAAAATTATACTGTTCATTTCTTTGTCAGTGGGTAAATCTACAAAATTAGAAAGGCATCAAATACTTACTTCCTCCACTGTATTTGGATGCATGGAGCATTTGTTATATAATAGCCTACACTCAACACTTAATTACCTCTTTCAGTCGCACTTTAAGACAAGAAAATGGTGAGTGTACTAACAACTGGAAATCAATTACTATCCCCAAACAGACAGTGTTGATACAGACCATTTAAGTAGATAAGGGGAACATGATATTCAACTAAATTTAAAATCATCTAATTTTTGATGATCATGAAGCTGTTGAATGAAACAGAAACAGTAAGAAAACAGTAGAATTTGCTGTACATAAAGATTATAGTGAATTTGAAAGTATGTGAGAATGAAGACCAAACAAACCAAAATGTGAGCACACACTTTGTTTATCTTATACCTTTCCAAATAACCACATCATTACAGTTACTTCCAAGTTAAGTTCTTCCCACTAATTACAGAGGTCTTCTCTGAGATGTGTTATCCTAATTTTTTGGAATATAAGATGCACGGTACATCCTTGTTGAAAAACACACAGCACACACATCAACAAAAATAAACAAAGGCTTAACACAGTGTTTTAAGGTGAAACAAAACAAACATGACTATTTTCTACTTCTTCAAACTGTTTTTAGATAAATAAAAATAAACATGCACATTTTACATAAAGAGAGATAAGAAATTGGGGTGGGGACTTGGGTGAAGTTCCTGAAAAACAGCATGAAGTTCCTGAAAAACAGCATGTTCACAATATAATTTTGTAGTACACAATATCACATTAAAAGTGTTACTAAGGTTATTTGCATGAAAAATGTGAAAACATTATCCACAAATGCAAAGTAAATGTACACATGATAAACATTGATTGTCAGGCCAAGAAATACAAAATAAGGTAAGAAAAATCTCACTCACATCTGTTCAATATTTACTCCAATTTTTGTCAGAGATCTGCAGGTACTCAGGGTCTCTCTGGTAAAACAATATACACACAGCATATAGTGCATACATGAACAACTTATAAACCTTTGTTTTAGTTCATTTAAACTTACTGCAGTTGATAAGACAATAGAGTGCTCAGGTAAGAACTTTGGTCTCTTCCTAGACGCAGGACAATTTGCCAGACTAATTAAAAAGTCCCTTGAGTAAGCAATCCGTTCTGGTATAAGAACACATTAAGTTGAGAACAGTGGCCTTATCAAAGGATACACGTTGCTTTTATAAATTAAAGCATACCTTGTTTCTTTTTGTGAAGGTCAAGGATCTTGTAGAACTGCTCAATGCCAATGAAGGGCTGTAAATAATATTAGAGACATAGAGCATCATAATATTAGACATAGTTCATAAGACTTTTTAGTTAGATGAACAGCAGCGCTCAGGACCTTGTCATAAAGCAACATAAAATTGTCAGTTAGCATAATCTTAAACCTACAGAGATTTTACAATACTAAATATTCAACTTGCCATTCATTCGAAAGTGTTTGACACAGAGATAAATCTATTTACCATCAGTGACCCAGCAGCTAATGCATCTCAATGGAAGTTTTGCACTGTGGCTTGTTGCTTGTAAACGTTTGATACCGAGCTCTGTTGGCATTTTTGTCAAAGGGGGCACAATATGTTGACTTTTACCTCTTGACTTGCCACCTCAATCTTGGCTTGTGCTTGTGCGCATGTGACAGGGTGGATTGTGGGCTCTGCGATGATGGAGGATGCATAATAAATAATGTTAATATTCTGGTGTTGTCCTATACCTTCGACAGAGAAATACTCACCAATATTAATACGGAAAGCACTGACGAAGGGGCCTTGCAGGTTCTAGATGCTTTTGCAGAATTCTTCTTCTTGAAATCTCCATTCTGTAGGCTAACATTTCATACATTCAATACATAAACCATTTAAAATCTAACCATTTAAAAGCTTGGTGTATACATGTGTGTTTCAAACTTAACTTACATTATTACCACAAACACTAATTGGCACTGTTATACATCTGAACCTTAAGTAGTTGTTTGCAATTGGCAATACAACAATTTACTTTACAGACATGTTAGCCATTGTAAAGCTTTAAAATGTTGCTTTAAAAATGTCACACAATATTTTGAAAGAATTTTGAGGGAGTTTGACGCCAATGAGAAACACACTTTAATTGTTATTGAACGTTGTTACTTTCTGGCGGTGGGACATCACCTTCCATGGAAATAAAAGTTGATACTTCAGAAAACTTTTCATGAGGATAAATAAGTTGTATGCCATACAGTGGAAGATGGAGGCCCGCCTACAGGCTAAGAGTCAGGTTTTTCAGTGCATTAAACCAAAACCAAAAATTATTCTGATTCTGATGAGGGGGAAAAGCGTTTATTTTAGTTTTTTGTTTGTTTGGGTAAAGTGTCTTACTGTGGTTTTAACTAGCTAGCGTCGATAAACTCAAATTTTCAGGTAACGAGTTGGGTGTAAGCATAGACACTTTATGGGTGCATGCAAAGTTATTTTCCTTTTATCGTAGAATGGATATGCAGAAGTATATATAAACTTGATCTAAAACGTTCAAACAAACATCTTAGTGCTCCAAAAATTAACAGTGATGTTATATTTCAAATTCCAATTAACAATTACGTACTAACCTATATTTTAGATTTAGCTATGTTTACTCTTAAGATGAAAACGTTCAAATGAAGTTGTTTCATTGTTGAAATCAAGTTAGAAATGTGTAATTTAGTATTCACCTGTTGTACAAACTTTGTCGGCGTGGATCAGTGAAGGTCTTGTAATGCCAGCGAAAAAAAAATCTACTTCCTGTTGGTAACTGAAAATAAACCTTCGGAATAACTACTCCGGAAGTGAAGTTTAAATCCCAACAAAATACATCAACGGGACCCATAACTGTATACAAATATTAATGAATATATATTTTAAAATAAGGAAGCTTTTCAGTCTGTATTTCCTTTTTTCCTTTATTAGTTAATCTTCATTTGTAACTATGGAGATACCCATCTTTCTTCATCACCTTGATATGTTATCGACACTGTTGGGCAAGTTACTTTGAAACTGTAATGCGTCATTTATTACCTATTACTGTCATTTCAAAGTAATTCGTTACATTACAATATTACTGCATTTAAAATGTAAGGCATTACATTACTATTGCATTACTTTAAGTTACTCTCACCAAAATAACTTTTGCGCTGTATATGGACTGAACCAGGACTAAACCAGGTCTAAACCAGGACTAAACCATAACTGAACTAGGACTAAACCAGAACTGAACTCGAACTAAACCAGAACTGAACTAGGACTAAAACAGGACTCACTGTAGGGACGGGCTAGAAGGTGACCGCAGGAGAAAGGAGCGGCTCTGCTCCGCACCTCACGGAGGTAAGAGCGGCTGTCGCCCGATCGCTCTTTATTGTACCCTGCTGCTCGGGCTCGCGGCCCTGATTTCAGCAACTATTTGCAGGTACCCGAGCCGGTGCAAGAGTCTGTTACAGCGAGTAACTTCTACCTTCCTTCAGCGTGTCCAGAAGTCCAACTTTTTGTGTGATGTTAGCATCTTCCTCTGCCTTTTGGGTGCGAGCGCAGGAGCCTTTGTCGGTTCAGAACGTTTCGTCGACGTTGTGGGTTTCGTCGGGGAGAAAACTTGCAACCGTACAGCACTTCAGAATCACACTGCTAGAGACTGAACATGTATTTAAATTTGGAAGCTGAACACATTCTGTACTGTACTGTACAGGAGACAGGAGTCCCTTGGCCAGTCAGGACGCAGCGGGAGGGACGCAATACGCATTCATACAATGTAAAAAAAAAAAAAAAAAGGGCATGCAAAATTGCACACAAAAAAAAAAAAAAATCTGCGAAACAGCGAGACCGCGAAAAGTAAACTGCGATAGAGGGAGGGACGAGTGTAAACCAGGCCTAAACCAGAACTGACCCAGGTCTAAACCAGGTCTAAACAGCGTGGAGTTCTTTGTCAGTCCTTTCGCCCGCGGTTACCTGAAGCTCTACGAGGGCGCATCTCCGGCGTTTCACCGCTGCTGATATCGAGGTGATTTTAGCGAATTTGTATGAAGAAAAACTCACCACTTCAATCCAGGTTAAAAAAAACATTGTAACGCGCGTTACTCACATTTGTACCGAGTAAAATATTACTATTTTTTCCCCTGTAATGCCTTACATTACTGCGTTACAGCAAAAAGTAATGCATTACTGTATTTCGTTACTTTTATAACGCGTTACTCCCAACACTGGTAATCGACATACTTTGAGATATCATAATACATAGCTTTGTTGAATATTTTCATTAAAAATAAATGCTTTGCTATATCTGTGTTCTTTCCTTTTTCCCCCCTTGCTCATGTAATTATGACAAAAATGCAACTTTCAGAACTTAAAGAAGTAAATAACTCATTATTTCAAAACAATTTCACAGAACCATTTATTTTACAAAAGAAAAGCATGTTGCATATATACATAAATGGCACACTTGTCTACCTAAGACAATAAAATGTGTAATATTATAGAAATACAAGTTGAATTTTTCTTTGGCCAATTGGTCTACCAGTAAGATCATCAATGGCTGCGAGAGCCTCCTGCCGGGATTCAAACACCACAGTTGCAGTGCCTTTTGAAGCCCCATTCTTATCGTATTGCAGTGAAACAGACCCAGGGATTATGCTGTAGCCATAGCAAAAGTCATAAACCTCTTCTACTTTAATGTTAAATGGTAAATTGATTAGCTTTATACAAGTAGGACCATCATGACCGGAGAGCTTGGTTCCGCCACGTGCACTCTCTCTGCCTTCACTATGTGAGCCTCGTGTCAAGTCCCTAGAGACACGAGAGCGCTCTTCTCTCAATGGTCTTTTAGGAACAAAGTCTGTCTCCTGAACAAAGGATGCTTCAAATTTCCTCTCTGGATAGCGATCTTCTCTCGAAGACACTTTTGGTTTAATCAAGTCCTGCACTTCGGACTGTGAAACTCCCCGTAGTCGAACCTCTGACCCCAGAAACCTTCGTCCATTGAGCGAGAGGGCCTCAATAGCCTCCTCTTCAGTCTGAAAAGAAACTATAACCTCACCAAGGCCATTTCCTTTATGATCACGCAGGAGAATAACATCATCCTCAGCCACATTAAACCCAATTAAGAAGTCCATGACCTCAACTTTCCTCACATCAAATGGAAGGGACCTTATGTGGATGCTGTTTCTGTCACTGGAAGAATCGAGCTTCTGATCTTCCAAAAGACTGATCATTTTTTCTCTTGAGATTGGACGAACGCTAATATTTCGATTAACCATAGTTCGGTTGTCTCGATCCAAAGCATCACGGTAATCCTGCAGACTTCTAAAAAGCACAAATGCACGTCTTGTTCTTGAGCCACTGCCATCCAGCAGGTAGAGAATCTGATCACTTCCAAGCCTGGCTCTAGAGAAAAACTTCATGATGTCATGTTTTTCTGCAGCATAGGACATATTGTCTAAAAGAACACAGTATTCACCACTTGAGGGTGAGGAGCTACGGACTAAAGGGGGGGACCTTGATCTTCCATGATACTGTGAAGCCTCCTGACTGCGAGGCTGTGATTGTTGCTGCCTTTCAGACATTCCTGACGGAGCTACACCAATGGTATCTTCCCAAAAACCTGTTGCCATTCTTTCAATGTATAAATCTCAACAAATCTTGTACCGATGTATTGCTTGTGCCTTTTTAGCCCATGGTTTGCATCTTCCTTTGATGCAAATGTTACAAGGCCATTCCCATTGTTTTGTCCTCTATTGTTCTGCACAAGAACCACCTTTTCTACAGCCAAACCGTCAAAGAACTTAAGCACATCTTTCTCAGTGGCAGAGAAGGGCATCCCTCGCAGCATCAGTTGTCTGTCTTTTTCAAAGCCTGATGTCCTTCTGTGTTGTGTTGGAGAGTAGCCCAATCTGCCAGAAGGCCTTCCACGATCAGTTGAATGTCTGAGTCCCCTCTTTTCTTCCATCTTCATACGTCTTGGTTTTTCATCCAGCATTTTTCTTTGATCCATGACCATATTCACAGAGCTTCTTTCCAGAACATTTTGCATTTCTGTTTTGCTGCTCAGCAGCAATTTAACAGGTGAGTCTTTGATATAATCACCAGATTTAGTCATGGCAATTCTTGCATCCTCATCTGAGCCAAAAATGATGAATGCTTCATCTAACTCGCCTCCAACTATATGCACTCCCCCATCTGGAATTCTAAGGCCACTGAAGAACTTGCGAATGTCCTGAGAACCCGCTGCTATCGACAATCCCTGTAAACGGATGACGACTGCCATGCTGACCAAGAAACACCTGTAGACAAAAGGGTACAGAAAAGCATTAATGCCAACAATTCTCCTCCAAAACTAAGTGAAGAATAAAGTTCCATATACTGATGATCCATTGGTGGTTTTCAGATTCTAAAATGTGATAAGTCAATCCGCACAAAAGCCATTGCTTCTATTTGTGTCTATTAAGAAAAAACAAACAAAAGGGAAATCCACACTCCTTGAACATGAGCATTAATGGTGACCAGGCCCTTGAACGCACCATTATACAACAAAATCTGCACATTAAGAAGTACTTTTTCTCATCTCCATTGGATGTTAAGGGCTTATGGAAA